TCTTCAATGGGCATCAGAAAAGGTTGGTCAAGTGACCGCTGCGGCTCTGGAGTGTACCCATCCACCGCCGCCATGAGCTTGAGGATGGCCTGCTTGGAGACCGCTCACCATGCAATGGCACTCACTTGAATGGAGAACACGTCTTCAATGGGCATCAAGAACGGCTTGTCCAGCGACCGCTGGGGCTCTGGAATGTATTCGTCCACCGCCGCCATGAGCTTGAGGATGGCCTGCTTGCCGATCTCGTCGTTGGTGCCCTGCAGCGCTGCCAGAGCCGACCCGCGCACTATGGGGATGTCGTCCCCAGGGAACTTGTAGAACGACAGCAGCTCTGGCAGGGGAAGAGGGGAGGGAGGGAGTTTTTTTTTAGGCGCCTCAAAAATCGTCTCAGCTCACGCGGATTTTATATGGGGAATATTTTTGAGGCGCCTCAAAAATCTTAGAACGAGAGCAGCTCTGGCAGGGGAAGAGGGGAGGGAGGGAGGGCAGGGAAGGTTCGGGAAAGGGAGAGCAGCTCTGGCAGGGGAAGAGGGGAGGGAGGGAGGGCAACTCTTGCACTCTCCCACCCTCTCTCCCACCCTCTCTCCCACCCTCTCTCACCCTCTCTCCCACCCTCTCTCCCGCCCTCTCTCCCGCCCTCTCTCCCACCCTCTCTCCCGCCCTCACCCCTCCGCTCCATCTCTACCAGCTCCAGCAGCTTGAGGAAAGACGCACATGCACACTGCCAGCCCTGAGCTTCTCCCGTGCAACAGCTGCTCCCTCCCTCGCTCACCCTCTCTCACTCCCCCTCACACTCACCCCTCCGCTCCATCTTCACCAGCTCCAGCAGCTCCTCATCGTCCACCACGTCCACCTTGCTGAGTCGAGAATAGGCGTGCATACACGCCCTCAGCCCCGAGCCTCTCATGAGCTCTCTATCTCACTCACCCCTCAGCTCCATCTCGTTGATTTTGCAGGGTGTTTTTGAGAATTCTCAAAAACACCCTGCTCACTCACCCCTCAGCTCCATCTCGTTGATTTTGCAGGGTGTTTTTGAGAATTCTCAAAAACACCCTGCTCACTCACCCCTCAGCTCCATCTCGACTAGCTCCAGCAGCTCCTCATCGTCCACCATGTCCACCTTGTTGAGGAAACACACGAGCGACGGCACGCCCACCTGGCCAACGAGAGGGATGGGGGAGGGGAGGGGAAGGGAGGGGATGGGCACGGGGGGATGTAAGCGCGTTTGAGAGAGCAGCAGGCATGCACTTGCGTGTGCTCCTCGTCGTCCACCTTGTTGAGGAAGCACACCAGCGACGGCACGCCCACCTGGCGATGAGTGACGGGGGGAGGAGGACACGGGCAGGGAGGACAGGGGATGCAAGGGAGAGCAGCAAGAATGCATCTGCTGCGTGCGTGTGCTGCTTGCCGTCCACCATGTCCACCTTGCTGAGGAAACACACCAGCGACGGCACGCCCACCTGGCCAACGCACAGGAGGAGCGGGAGGGCAACAAAGAAACGGGTGCGCGTTTCAGAGGGGACTTTTGAGTCGACGCAAAAGTCACCGCGTTTCAGAGGGGACTTGAGTCGACGCAAAAGTCACCGCGTTTCAGAGGGGGAAACACAAGAACGCGCGGGTGTACGTGGGTGCATCTTCAAGAACTCCTCGTCGTCCACCTTGTTGCGGAAACACACCAGCGACGGCACACCCACCTGGAAATTGAGGGGAAATTGGTGGGGGAGGAGAAAGGGGTTATGGAGGAACAGCACAGCAGGGGAGTGCAGACGGCTCTGGGACTCGGGCGGTGCAGCAGGTCACCACACAGCATTCCACCACGATTTTGGCAGCGCCTCAAAAATCGACTCATCACACACCCACACGCGGATTATATGTGCAGAAGTTATTTGTTGCTTAGAAAGATGGTTCTGGGACTGGGGCAATGCAGCAGGTCACCAAAGAGCACACGACACGAGCTCATGTCCCAAGCAGGTGGTGGAGGGCAAGCACGCGGTGGAGGGCAAGCAGGCGGTGGAGGGCCGACTTACCTGCCGTGGCAGCAGGGTGTGGCATGGGACCATGATGGGCCATCCAGGCAGAGACGAGATGATACAAATGCCGCAGTCCATCTGGGCAGCAGTAAATGCTCTCGGGTCTGCGGCAGGCGAGGATGTATCATAGGACTTTCACTTCACCTGCGCTCGGGTCTGTGTCTGCTCTCACCTGCCGTGCCAGCAGCATGCGTTCCCAGGACTGCGGCATGGGCCCATCCGGGGCGGATACCACCAGAATGCCTCCATCCATCTGGGCCGCGCCGGTGATCATCTTCTTCACCTTCACGTAGTCCGCTGCTTGGGCATCCCAGGGCCCAGGGGTATCAGAATGTGCTCCCCGGGACCTTGGGCACTCGGCTCACCTGCCGTGCCAGCAGGATGTGCTCCCGGGTCTGTGGCATGGGGCCATCGGGAGCAGACACCACGAGAATGCCTCCATCCATCTGGGCCGCGCCCGTGATCATGTTCTTCACGTAGTCCGCATGGCCGGGGCAGTCCACGTGCGCGTAGTGCCGCTTCTCCGTCTCGTACTCCACATGCGCCTGAGGTGGTGGTGGGAGGGGGGGGGGAAAGAGGGGGTGGGGTGCATGGGGCAGTCCACGTGCGCGTAGTGCCGCTCTCCGTCTCGTACTCCACATGCGCCTGACGGAAGAGGAGGGGGGAGAGGATTTTTGAGGCGCCTCAAAAATCCTTTTGAGGCGCCTCAAAAATCGGAAGAGGAGGGGGAGAGGGTGGGAGAAAGGGAGGGGAGAGGAGAGAAGGGGGGTGGGAGGGGAGGGGAGGGAGGGGATTGGATGGGGCAGTCCACGAGCGCGTAGTGGAGCTTCTCTGTCTCGTACTCCACGTCTACCTGAGGGGAGAGGGGGGCAGAGGGGGGGGAAGGGGAGAGGGGGCAGGGGGGAGGGTAAGGGGAGAGAAGGAGGGGGGGGGAAGGGAGAGGGGGGAAGGGAGAGGGGGATGGGGGAGGAGTCAAATGGGAGACAACGTAAAACAACGGGAGTCAAGGAGTAGGAGACAGCTGAAGTGAACAGCAAGTCAATATGTGTGGAGACTGGCGGAGGATGCTTATAAAACGTGGGAATTCTGGAGTAAGGGGGGGGGGGGGGATGGGGGTGGAGGAAACAAGAGGTGATCTACAAGGAAGAACCAAAATAGCTTATTGTTTGCCTTCGTGGGCCACGAAGGCAAACAATAGCATACGATCTCTCGTCTTGTCTCGTCCCCACCACTCCACACACTCACAGTGGCGATGGTGATGCCACGGGCCTTCTCCTCAGGCGTATTTTGAGTCGACTCAAAATACACAAAGAATAGCATACGACCTCTCGTCTCGTCCCGTCCCCACCACTCCACGCACTCACAGTGGCGATGGTGATACCACGGGCCTTCTCCTCAGGCGCCTTATCAATCTCGTCGAAAGCAATCGCCTTGGCCTTACCCTCGTCTGCCAGCACCTGTGCGCCAAGCAACCAGAAGAGAGAAGAGGCAGCAGTGAGGGTCGTCTTGAAATGAGCACTTTCAGGCCAGGCAACAATCCAGGCGTCTGAACTTATTCATTGCAGCAAGGAGGGTCGTTCCAGCGGTGAGACTTCCGGTGGTGGCAGCAGTGAGGGTGGTCTTGCCATGGTCCACGTGGCCGATGGTCCCGATGTTTGGTTGCGAGCAGGGGGCGAATGGAGAACTGCAATACCAGGGTTAGTAACCCTCGCAGATTGGTAACCATTTGCGTTCTGACCTTGGTGATGGCAGCAGTGAGGGTCGTCTTGCCGTGATCCACGTGGCCGATGGTCCCGATGTTCAGATGCGGCTTCCTGCACGCATGCAGGCAGGCAAAGCGGCAAGGAAAGAGTTGCAAGGATAAAGACTCCGGTAGAAGCACACAAGCAATTCTGAGTCCACTTGAAAGTACATGCCCGATGGTCCCAATGCTCAGATGCGGCTTCCTGCAGAGACCATCGGACACACAGAGATTCACAAGCACACACGCAGGCGAAGTGATAAGGATAGAGTTGCAAGGGAAAAGACACCTTTAAAAGCACACTAGCATATTCTAAGGCCACTCAAAGTTACACGCGACCTTGACTCATGAAGGAAGCTGCGTGGAAGCTGCTACTCACGATCGGGAGAAAGTTGCGTATCCCCGCCTGCACTGCGCCGCGATTGCCGCCGCCTCTCCCGCCGCGATAGACGGAACAATGCCCCTAAGAGACATCGACCCCGCAACAGTAGCGCAAGCCACGGAGCTTCTAAAGGGAGACACCGCGCCGCTCAGAACCGCATCCACGTCACGACCTCCCGCAAACCCCGCGAGGTCGCAGGTGCTGACGTGGCGGCTGGCCAGCGCAGCGGCGCCATTTGGTGACGTAGCCGGCGCGGCTGCTCCAGCTTGCGATCCGGATTCGACGGATCGGAAAAGCGCGCCGAGCGCGCTTCCTGTCGCTCGGTTGCGAGACAGGATTCGGTGGACGGACGTAACGGCCATCGTTACAAGCACCAGATCTGAGATCCTTCGCTATAAGAACACCGCAAGAGTCCTGATGCTCAAGATGAGATCCTTTTTACAACCTCACTGAAGCGTCGCGTACCAGCGACGCGTGGTAGCGTTGCGTCTGGTAACAGGCTGCACCACTTGGGCAGCGCAGCGATGGGAAGTGGGAGGGATGATAGCTAAGCAAGACGCTTAGCGGCTGATCCCACACCAAGAGAAGCGACTGCGATTCGGGTTTAACGCCGCGTGTTAGGCGCTAAGGCGGATCGTAGCGGCTGATAGGTCGAGTAGCCAGTGAAGGACCAGGCTGGAGTGTCTACGCTACGCTGCTGGTGCTATACCCTAATCCAGTAGGCCTATGTAGCAGTCCGCGTTGACCTAGTTTCTTGTCTGGGGAGAGTAGATTCGCACAAACGAGGCAATCTCGAGGGTGGCCGCTGTTGGCTGACTCGATACCATGACAACGCCGCAAGATCCTAACCGAACCTCAGTCTTTATCTTGAACCACAGTGGTAACTTGAAAAAAATCGTTTTAGATAAATTTGGCTGGGCCACACCTCCTACAAATTCCTGATTGTGGTTCCATGGAGGCGAAACGAGTGGGTGTACTCCCACAATTGCTGCATGAATTCCGCTGATGGTTGCTGGTCTTCTTGCTCCGCCAACTGCCATTGGAGAAGCCACACAACTATCAAAATGTTGACTTGAGCACGAGAAAAATATGAAACGAACTATAATCTATGCCTTACCTTCACCTTGTCTTCCTCTTTCAGCTCGCCCATGTAAAAATGCTGCAACAAGTAACGAGAAATGTGAGAAAAAACATATTTTCACTGAACTTCTTACACATTGTGATGACGGCCACCTGGAAAAAAAACCCATAGAGCAAGTGCGTGCAGAATTAGCTGCCCGTGCATATAATGAGCATCTCAACTCACCCTGAGGTAAAGAAACGATTCCCTCGACGAATGGTACAGCTCAAAGAATACAGTGCAGTCCCTGTTGAGTCCCTGCGATGTTTGCCACATTATATGCAAGCAAGGACGATCTTGAGAGAAATGATGGAAAAGAGTATGCTTGTAAAGGGAAAGTAACAAATTGGCTTGTAGAATTTGCAAAACTCTAGATTACACTTGATTTGAAACGGTTAAGATGACTGGAAGTAAGTCTCACCTGAGTTGGGATGATTGTATCGCCTCCTGGGTGCTCTGGTAACCACCTGGTTACATCCAGCACCATGCCATCCAGAAGCAGCCAACAGTTGCCACTCGCATTGCGCTCTGCCACCTCGGCAAAGGAATATTCACTGGGAAACAAGGGGAGGAGGAGACGGAGAGCAGGAAGGTGCTTAAGAGGAGCACAGACGTGGGAGGAAGGAGGCTGCCTTGATCAGGTCCTGGGTGTTTTTCACGTCAAACTGAAAGTCTCTCTGTATGCTACTTCAGCGCAAAACCAGAAACTTTGGACCATTAGACCGCAAACAATGGCACTTTGAAGCCTTACCGCAAGCAGAGTCTATTTTTGAGGCGCCTCAAAAATAGGCGCCTCAAAAATAAACTTTGAACCGTTAGACCGCAAACAATGGTACTTTGAAGGCTTACCGCATGCAGGACTCAAAGAGGCCTAAGCACAGAGGTCCACCAGGCTCTTGAGCTTCAGACATGAGGCCATGGTTCCGTCACGTTTAGCGTGAGGTTGATGTCACACTGCAACTGTCCACTTGCTCCTAGAACCCTAGGTCCTAAAGAATCATACCTCACACCCTGTGAAGCCTCACCGGATGCGAGACTCTTTTTGAGGCGCCTAAAAAATCGAATCGTACCGCGCCCCCTGTGAAAGCCTCACCGGATGCGAGACTCAAAGAGCCCCAGGCGCTGGTCGCACAGGTCAGCCAGGCTCTTGAGCTTCAAGCATGCAGCCTCTTCCCTCGACTCCTGGGAGAGGTCGATGTCAAACCGGAAGCGCTCTGCCTGTCTGTTGACTACTAGAACCTAAACCAGAAACATTGTTCTCCATACCGTATGCGAGACTCAAAGAGGCCCAGGCGCTGGTCACACAGGTCAGCCAGGCTCTTGAGCTTCAAGCATGCAGCTGCTTCCCTCAACTCCTGGGTAAGGTTGATGTCAAACTGAAAGCTCTCTGCTTCACCCTTGAAGTCTGCCTCCAAGAAAAGCAGCACTCGGTCCAGCAGCAAGCACTCCACACCCACTTGGACTGTTGGGGGCTCGGGGCCAGTGTCTTGAACTGCCTGCAGACATAGGGAGGGAGGGAATGGGGGGATGGAGGGGAGGGAAGTCACCGTACCGTATGCGAGACTCAAAGAGCCCCAGGCGCTGGTCGCCAGTGTCTGGAAGTCACCACGGTAGGGCTCTCTGGCCCTTCATTTTCCGAGTCCCTTTTGAGCCGACTCGAAAGTCACCTCAATGCCAACACTCCACGTCTCCAGGATGTGTCAACATGAAGACGTGCTTGTGTCCATGACACAAGCATGTCTTGGACTCACATGGAGACGTGGAGACGCAGCATCCAGGGCATAAATAGCAGCACCAAAGGTGAGCCTATTTTTGAGGCGCCTTAAAACAAGATTTTTAAGGCGCCTCAAACATGGAGTTAAGGTGTAAAGCAGCACCAAAGGTGAGAACATGCCGCACCGGGCAATCCACGTATTTTAGAGAGTAACAGCATCACAAACATCATACTTCAGTAAGAGCGAGGCATGGTTGCAGAAGGAGTCTATTTTTGAGGCGCCTCAAAAAGAAAGTGCCAGTGTTACGAACACCATACCTTAGTAAGTGCAAGGCACGGTCGGAGAAGGGCTTTCTTGACTGGAAAGAGCTCGTCGTCTGACGAGAGGAGCTGAGGGGGGGGAGAAGAGAGGGGGGGGGGAAGAGGACTGAAAGAAAAGTGAGCAGGCAAGGGGGTTGGTGAAAAATAGTAAGGAAGATCAGAAACGAAAAAATAGTATTAAAGGCAGTAAGGAAGAGGACAGTGATTCAATCCAGCAATGCAAGATCAGAATCCCCGCTCTTTTTTTGCATGGCTCACATTCACAACTTTACTTGGGCCTGTGCTTTTTGCTGTTGCAGGCTATTTGTGAGCGGCTCACGTTCACAGATTTCGGACAATTGTAAACCATCACCAGCTCACATTTACAACTTTACTTGGGCCAGGGCTTGTTGCGGCCTGTTTGGGTGTCCAGTTGGCTAGCTCTATGCCTGCAAGACGAGGAGAAAGGGGCGTTTGGGGGGAGGAGGCGTTTTGAGGAAAGGGGCCACGACACCAAGGGGGGGGGGGGAGAATAAATGACAGGAAGGGGATGGGCAGCGAAAATGGGGAGCACACGTCAGTGGCGACATGTGACAAAAGACAGAAAGAGAGTATACCTGTATCGGGTACAAGGTGTATTTGAGTGTCATTTGTGAGCATGCCTCTGTAGCAATGGTACAGCACTGCTTCGTCCCGCTCATCCTCGCCTGAGGCAAGGAAGACAGAGAGAACGAGGAAAGAGAGCAAGGAAAGCAAAGGACGGAGTGCAGGAAGGACGGGCGGAACTGCTGTGAGCATGCCTCTGTAGCAATGGTACAGCACTGCTTCGTCCCGCTCGTCCTCGCCAGGAACAAAGAGGGAGAGAGATCACGGGAAGAGATGAGAGGGAAGAGAGATCACGGGAAGAGATGAGAGGAGGAGCAGGAACACTGTAACACTCAGGAGCAGGAAGGGGCGGGGGGGGTAACACTAACAGCTGTCAGCATGCCTCTTGTGAAGTTCTTGAGCTTCAAAAGTTCTTGGTGATTTTATTGAGCTCAATCAAACCACCTTTCATCCAGCTCAGGTGATTTTTTATTGAGCTTTGAGCAACTCACTCAGGTTGTTTGCCTCCGCCACTCGAACGGCCAGCTCCTTCCCACGAGCAGACATCACCAGCCTGTTACGAGTGACACATGGCACAATGGAGAGACGACATGTGGACATAGATGAAAGGAAGGTCAGTTACTGCACTGGTGAAGAGATACCCAATCCCACGGACTGGACTGTACTAGATCAACGTTTCGAGCCCCACCCACAGGGCTGCCTTTTGAGTCGACTCAAAACCCACCCACGGGGCTGCCCTTTGAGTCGACTCAAAACCCACCCACGGGGCTGCCTTTTGAGCCGACTCAAAACCCACCCACGGGGCTGCCTTTTGAGTCGACTCAAAACCCACCCACGGGGCGCTACCTTTTGAGTCGCCTCAAAACCCACCCACGGAGCTGCTTTTGAGGCGCCTCAAAAGCAGTCCCACCCACAGGGAGCAAAAGTAAACGCAATGGCGAAAGGAGGAGGGAGGTGGGGCCATACGTAGAAGTAGCAAGGCCCGTGGCCTGTGAGAGAGAGTGAACGAACAAGATGACTTTTGAGTCGAATCAAAAGGCAACCACACATACGTGTGGGGCGTAGGGAGCAAGAGTGCATACGTGTGGGACACTGTGAGGACTTGATGGTGGAAGAGCCGGTGGAGTTGATCGCATAGATCTGCTGCGTCCAGGGATAGGCACCCCTCCTCCTCTTCCTCCTCCTCCTCTTCCTCCTCCTCCTCTTCCTCCTCCTCCCCTTCTTCCTCCTCCTCCTCTCCCCCACTACCCTCACTACCCCCCTTCTCCATGCCAGCAGCGCCCCCTAGCAGAATCCGAACCTCCAGAGTCACATCTGTGGTGAAGGAACGGGGGAGGAAGAAGGATGATGATGCGACGGGGATGCTTGTGGGGGTCATGGTGCAGTGGTGACCAGTGCCCCCTTGTCCATGCCAGCAAGGTGACTTTGAGTCGACTCATGAGGTGACTTTTGAGTCGACTCATGAGGTGGTGACCAATGAGCCGACTCAAAAGTCACCTCATGGTGCAGTGGTGACGAGTGCCCCTTTCTCCATGCCAGCAGCCCCCTTTAGGAGAACCTGGACCTCCAGAGTCACATCTGCCACGAGGAGGATAGTGTGATTGTATAGGGGGGTCATCCAAGCGAGTGCGAGAGGAATGAGGGGAAAAAGCATGGTTCGAGGGCTGTGGCATGGTGACTGCGGATACATAGTCGATGCAAGACGGGATCCTCTGAGAATGACGAATCGACTTTTGAGTCGACTCAAAAGACACCTCGATGCAAGACGGGATCCTCTGAGAATGACGAATCGACTTTTGAGTCGACTCAAAAGACACCTCGATGCAAGACGGGATCCTCTGAGAATGACGAATCGACTTTTGAGTCGACTCAAAAGACACCTCGATGCAAGACGGGATCCTCTGAGAATGACGAATCGACTTTTGAGTCGACTCAAAAGACACCTCGATGCAAGACGGGATCCTCTGAGAAGACTTTTGAGAAGACTTTTCCAGTCGACTCAAAAGTCACCTCGATGCAAGACGGGCTCCTCTTACCTTGGAGAGCGAATCTTGGAGGCGGAACAAACACCTCAAACTCATAACGAATCTGCAGAGAGCACAAAGGTGTACACAGTCTCGCAGTCACACAGTCACGCAGTCACACAGTCACACAGTCACAAGTACATCAATCCTTGATTGACTTTCGAGTCGACTCTAAAAGTCCCCTAGGAACAAACACCTCCAGCTTCTGGATCTGCAGAAAGCGCACACATATACCACTGATCAATGACTGATGCGATACAGCCTGCACGCGACATGGCAAGGTGCCGATGGTACCAAGCACACACAGTCTGAGTCTGCGTTTGCCTCCCCTCCCTCCCTCCCTCCCTCCCTCCTCCTCCTCCCTCCCCTCCCTCCTCCCCTCCTCCCTCCTCCCTCCTCCCTCCCTCCCTCCTCCCTCCCTCCCTCCCTCCCTCCCTCCCTCCCTCCCTCCCTCCCTCCCTCCTCCCTCCCTCCCTCCCTCCCTCCCTCCCTCCCTCCCTCCCTCCCTCCCTCCCCTCCCTCCCCTCCCTCCCTCCCTCCCTCCCTCCCCTCCCTCCCTCCCTCCCTCCCTCCCTCCTCCCTCCCTCCCTCCCTCCCTCCCTCCCTCCCCTCCCTCCCTCCCCTCCCTCCCTCCCTCCCTCCCTCCCTCCCTCCCTCCCTCCCTCCCTCCCTCCATGCTCTTCTTCCCTCCCTCCTTTATCCTCCGAATCCCCAAGTGTACCCCCTCCCCCCCCAAAGCACCGTTAAATCAACGCACCCACTCGGCACTACAGCTACAGCCACAGCACATGCTTACGTCAGACGCGAGGTGCAGGTTGAATCGGTGTACGGCAGAGAGGGCCATGGCGGCTGGAGGGACACCTGGGTGCGGGCTGCTTGTGGCGATGGTGATGGTGATGTTGGCAAGGAGGGGAGAGAGGGGAGAGAGGGAGGTTGAAAGGGAGACACAATTGAGAAGATTTGGAAAATGAAGGAATCTCTGGCCTCTGGGTGACGCATAGATCTGGACTTTATTTGGGCTGAGTGTGCTGATGATGAAAAAGAACAAGATAAGATTTATCAATGCATATGTGTGCCTGATTGTGTGTGGTGTGTGTGTGTGTGTGTGTGGTGTGTGTGTGTGTGTGTTGTGTGTGTGTGTGTGTGTGTGTGTGTGTGTGCATTCTTGCATTTACATGTGTAGATACATGTAGCCATTAAGCGTTAGGGTGGGCTGCAGCGAAGAGAAAGAACTTTAGCAAAAAGAGTGACAGTGGGTAAATTGAAACCCCTGTTAAAAACCGAGAATTCGAAGCTCCGAACTCAACTCCACTAGAAGATTAAAACGCTAAGCCATTAAGCGTAGATACATGACTGTATGCAAACACATGTGCGTGCGTGCGTGCATGCATGCATGTACACGTGTATGCTCATGTAGCCCCACTCACATGACTGCAAGCACCCCATCACTGCCACCCTGCGAATCTCCGGACATAATTCCAGCGAGCGCAGTTAGGAAGGCCGTTTAGCAAGTAGGAAAGACAGTTGTAAAAACGCTATGCTTATGTAACCAAGAGTTTTAGGAAAGCAGGACCTCTTCTCTTAACAGCGAAGTTAACATGGGACAGCGGACAGAACTCACATGACTGCTTACTCACATGACTGCTTACTCACATGACTGCTTACTCACATGACTGCTTACTCACATGACTGCAAGCACCCCATCGCTGCCACCCTGCGCCACGTGGGATGCAAACAAGAGAAGAATAGGAGACGAGAAGAGAGATGAGATCCAAGTGTACGTGTAAGCTAAGTGGGCAAATTCGTTGGGGTCCCCCAGCGTTTTGCGTAAATTCGTAAGCGTAAATTCGCAAACGCGAATTTACCTGAAATTCGCGGAAACGCTGGGGACAAATTTTCGGGGCAGCCCCGGACAAAAAAACACAAAATTTTCCACTCGATTCGCGACGACTTGGCGATGCCATCCGTGGCCTCGCCAATTCGCGATTCTAACTTTTGAAACCTTCTAACATGCACCCAACCCCTCCCACGCTCCCAACCGTGGGGGATGTGTGAGTATGGTTTCTAATGGTGCTGTAGGTTGCTGCAGGGCTGTTGTTGCGAAGGAACCCCCCAAACTCTCGAACATGCTATTGCCATAAACTTTGAGAAGCAATATATATTTTGTGCTAAATTTTTATTGTTTGAAAGAGTTGCCTGAAACCCCCCATGCCCCCCTACCTGGGAAGTTTTTTTTGGGCCTGCCCGGTTTTTTTTTCCTGCCCGGGCGGAACGAATTTCCTAACGAATTTAAAACAGGGCCCTGGCGTTCGGCGAATTTACGCCAGCGTAAATTCGTCAGCGAATTTACGTGAAACGCGAATTTTCCCACTTAGCGTGTAAGTGTAGCATCCCTACACTTGATCAAGTGTAGGGACAAGAGTCAAGTGGGATGGCAAAGGCAAAGGATTGTGCAGGGTGTTTTTGAGAATTCTCAAAAACACCCTGCACAATCAGGAGACGAGAAGAGAGAGGAGATCCAAGAAGAAGTGTAGGGAGAAGAATCAAGTGGGACAGCAAAATCACAAGGTACGAGCAAGCAGAAAAACAGACGCAGAGCAAAGTTCATGACATCGCATTCCCCTGGAATTGCCCCCCTGACATTGCCCTTCCCCTGGCATTGCCCTTCCCCTGGCATTGCCCTTCCCCTGACATTGCCCTTCCCCTGGCATTGCCCTTCCCCTGACATTGCCCTTCCCCTGGCATTGCCCTTCCCCTGACATTGCCCTTCCCCTGGCATTGCCCTTCCCCTGGCATTGCCCTTCCCCTGGCATTGCCCTTTCCCTGGCATTGCCCTTCCCCTGGCATTGCCCTTCCCCTGACATTGCCCTTCCCCTGGCATTGCCCTTCCCCTGACATTGCCCTTCCCCTGCATTGCCCTTCCCCTGGCATTGCCCTTTCCCTGGCATTGCCCTTCCCCTGGCATTGCCCTTCCCCTGGCATTGCCCTCCCCCTGGCATTGCCCTTCCCCTGACATTGCCCTTCCCCTGGCATTGCCCTTCCCCTGGCATTGCCCTTCCCCTGGCATTGCCCTTCCCCTGGCATTGCCCTTCCCCTGGCATTGCCCTTTCCCTGGCATTGCCCTACCCCTGGCATTGCCCTTCCCCTGGCATTGCCCTTCCCCTGACATTGCCCTTCCCCTGGCATTGCCCTTCCCCTGGCATTGCCCTTCCCCTGACATTGCCCTTCCCCTGGCATTGCCCTTCCCCTGGCATTGCCCTTCCCCTGGCATTGCCCTTCCCCTGGCATTGCCCTTCCCCTGGCATTGCCCTTCCCCTGGCATTGCCCCCCGCTGCTTCCCCTGCTGCCCCTTCCCCTGGCATTGCCCTTCCCCTGGCTTGCCTCTTCCCTGGCATTGCCTTCCCCTGACATGCCCTTCCTGCATTTGCCCTTCCCTGCATTGGCCCTTCCCCTGGCATTGCCCTTCCCTGGCATTGGCCCTTCCCCTGACAATTGCCCTTGCCCCTGGCATTGCCCTTCCCCTGGCATTGCCCTTCCCCTGACATTGCCCTTCCCCTGGCATTGCCCTTCCCCTGGGCATTGCCCTTCCCCTGGCATTGCCCTTCCCCTGGCATTGCCCTTCTCCCTGGCATTGCCTACCCTGCATTGCCCTTCCCTGGCATTGCCCTTCCCCTGCCATTGCCCTTCCCCTGGCATTGCCCTTCCCCTGGCATTGCCCTTCCTGACATTCCTTCCCTGCCATTGCCCTTCCCCTGGCATTGCCCTTCCCCTGGCATTGCCCTTTCCCTGCATTGCCTTCCCCTGGCATTGCCCTTCCCCTGGCATTGCCCTTCCTGCATTGCCCTTCCCCTGACATTGCCCTTCCCCTGGCATTGCCCTTCCCCTGACATTGCCTTTAAGTCCCCCAAAAATCTACCCCCAAGCCCACCTGCAACCAGAACTGAAATTAATTATAATATAGTTTTGAGACATCTCAGAACTAAATTATTGCCCCAACCCCCCCATCCCCAACCCCATTCCCGCCTCACCTTCTGCACCAGGTATATCTGCTCCCCATCCCCCTCCTCCGTCCCCTGCTCCCCCCCTTCCACCCTCACTTCTCCCCCCTCTCCCTGCTTCCCCTCCCTATCATCTCCCCCCCCATCCCTTCCCCCATCTCTTCCCCCATCCCTTCCCCCTTGACCCTCCCCCAGCCCCAGCAATCCGCGGATCCACCCCCCACCGCCCCTCCTTTCATGATCCCTCCGCCTGCTGCGCCTTTCCCCATCGCGCGCCTTCCCCGCGCGTTCAGATTCCCCCCTAATCCTTCTGCTTCCGCCTGCTGCCACGTGTCCCTGATAGCCGCCCAATCCGACGGGTGTACACCGCACTGCCGCCCTGCCAGCTCGGACAGCGGCCGTGCCACTGCTCTGCTGGCACTGACGGTGCTTCCGCGTGCCACGTCATCGGGATGCGTGGACGCTGACGTGTCAAGATCCTCCCAGTTGACCACCTGGAATGGAGGAGGGTCAAAGCCAAGATCAGGTTCATGGAGAGACGCTGATAATAATGAGACGCTGATAATAATGAGACGCTGATAATAATGAGACGCTGATGATAATGAGACGCTGATGATAATGAGACGCTGATAATAATGAGACGCTGATAATAATGAGACGCTGATAGAATTAGACTTACTCAATTTGACTCAACCTAATGAAACGAGCTAGGCCAATAGTTTAGCTAGAGAACGAGAGATGGCGGTAATCCGCTAGGCCAATGGTCCCACGTGTCAAGTCCTCGTCATTTCTCGCCGAATCCATATCCCGCTAGGCATGACGCAGAGACAGACTCGCGAAGGTGTTCGCGAATCGCGGTCTTCCGTCGCATGAACGGCGGACGACAGACATGAACGGCGAATAACGCACCTTCAGGCGGAAATGACACTGCATTGGCGATTCGTCGCCCGCCATGGTCAGCAACGGTTAGCTTCTGCGACGGGCTCTTACCGAGACCACCAATAAGGAGTTTTCACGCACTGGCCATTGCCCAAATCCCAAGGTAGTTTGAATTTAGGCTGCCTCGCTTTTACGTACACGCATGACACAAGTGTATAAATGCTGGTTATTCAAAAGTGTCGATTTTTTGCATGTACGCTATTAAAAAGGAAATCATATTTTGAACAGTTCCTGTTTCGGTGGCAACCACCCCTACACTGACAAACACACTCATCCAGCCCCACCCACACATTTTGCCAAACAGCAGCTTCCGTCCGTAATGGAAAATCCCCTGGCCCATGAGCAATCCAAACAATAAGCCCTTGGGATTGCCCGGAGCTGCTGCTGGGCATTCGGGAAAATACATTTCAGGTCGAGTTCGCATTTCAGTCTGTTGGTTCCAACGCTGTGTGGTTCTTGGCTAACCCGCACCGCATGTGGCGGCGGAGGATCCTCTCCCACAGCTCGCAGTGACCTTGCGGTCACGCGACGACCGCCATGGCTCGCGGCGGCGGGACGAAGGTCAGATCCCGTCCCGTTAACTGACGTTCTTACCGTGTGCTGAGTCGGCCGGAGAGAGTCACGGCCCGTTAACTGACGTTCTTTAGGACCTTGAAAAGCCATGCCGCCTTGTTTCCGGGGTTCCGTGTGTCTCATCGCATCGCCCGTTCCTGTTTAGTTTGAACAGTTAATTTCATGTTGCTAATGTCTACTTCTTGTTAATCTAAGTAGCCGCATTCTTGGCGGCCGACAAATGCAAGCATGCTTGGGTATATTGTGTCTGCCTTTTACTCTCATTCCTCGTCGCTCACGCCGTCTATTACGTGCTCTTTATTACTTCTGTTCAGGGTGGACCTCTCGTGAAGCGTGGATCGGACAGCAAAACTGCTGGTGGAAAGACACGTGGCGCCAGCAGCGGTAAATCCAACCCCAAGGATAGGGCACCATCACGCAAAACAGCCGGTGGCGCGCAGCATTCCAGCCGGCTAGCCAGCAGCAACCGCGGCCGAGGACGTGGGGGGCGGCAGTAGGACGGGAAGGCAAGGCCGGTGCGAAAGCTGCCAAGCCCGCGAAACCAGCGGTGGCGGCTGCGGCGGTGGAGGAGGAAGAGGTTGAGCTGTCCGACGACGACGTGGCATTCTTCTCGAAGCACCAGAACTTCGCGCGCTTCTTGTCGGGCCTGGAGGAGCAGAAGCTGGGCAGGTAGGGAGTCCACTCCGTTCAGTTTACTGGTCTTGGGTTTACTGTTTATTGCTTTCCGATGTAATAACTTGTCCGGCCTGGAGAAGCACCAGCTGGTAAGGGAAGCGGTCGCTCTCATTGCGATCACCGGATTCAAGGTTTGGGGTTCTGGCTTCCTTCCGATATCAGGTTTATACGGTTCGGGATTTCTGCGTCCGCCTAGTTTGAGGGTTAGCTTGCTGTTGTTGGTATAACGGTGCGACTTCTGTCGAATATGGTAGAGGCCTACATTTGTTTTGTTTTTTCTTGTCGTGGTCATAACATGTGCATTGGTTTCCACTGTGTCCTCCTACTCATCATCAGTGAATCCAAGGGAAGCAAGCCTAAACCTCCGAGACCGGATCGTGCTGAGGAAGGAAGCGATGCTGACAGGTGCGAGGATGATGGAGGAGAGGAGGATAGTGATGATGATGGAGATGGATTGGACGAAAGTGATGACGTGGACGAAGATGACGTGGAGGAGGACGTCACTGACGAGGATGAGGAGCTAGCGGAGGAAGAGGAGGCGGACACTAACAGTGCAGAGGGCGTGCGGGTTCCCGGAGACGGAGAAGAAATCGCTGCGGAAGAGGCGGAAGAGGCGGAAGAGGCGGAAGAGGCGGAAGAGGCGGAAGAGGCGGAAGAAGAGGAGGAGGAAGAGCAAGAGCTTGAGCCAGTGATTTCCGATGACGAGTTCGACGATGAGGATGACGAGGAAGAGGAGGAAGAGGATGAGGAGGACGACGATGAGTTCGATGACGACGAGGACGAGGTGATGGTTTTCGCCGACTCGTCCGCTGCAGGCCTTGGCGCTGGCCCGCTGAAAGGCGCTAAAGGCAAAATGCGGGACGCACGGGGAGCGGACAAGGGGAAGGGCGGAGTGAAGGAGCAGGAGGATGGGGGGAAGGGGAAGAAGCGGAAGACGATGCGGATGGGGAAGGGGAAGAGGAGTCGGAGGACGAAGAGGCGGAGTACGAGCGCCAAGTCAGGCGCCCGGGATGGGCCGTGGCTGCGGGGCCAGCGGGGAAATTTGCCCCGAAACCCCGCGCTGCCCCTGCTGCAGCAGCAGCCGCGGAGGTGGTTGCGGCGGAAGGAACGCCAGAGGCGAAGGGGGAGAAGAGAGGTTCAATGCGGGGTTTCGGGCTTATTGCGGCGAGGGACAAGGGGGTGCTGGTGGATGCTGTTGATGCCCTGCCGGTTAAAACCCTTGACGGCCGGCTGATGTATCGTGCGATCGAAGTGGCGGAAGGGGGAGAGGGAGAGGGAGGGGATGAAGGGGAGCTAGCAGGTGGGGCGAGAGAGGAGAAAAAGAAGGGGAAGAAGGGGAAGGAGGAGGTGGAGGAAGAGGAGGTGAAGGGAGACGAGAAAGCGGAGGGAGGGGAGGGTGAGGAGGAGGAAGAGGAGGGTGGAAGGGTTGGAAGGAAAGGGAAGGATGTATCGAGGCTCACCCCACAAGAGCAAGCTATGGTGTGTAAACCTCGTTTGCCGAGCTATGGTGTGTAAACCTCGTTTGCCGAGCTATGGTGTGTAAACCTCGTTTGCCGAGCTATGGTGTGTAAACCTCGTTTGCCGAGCTATGGTGTGTAAACCTTGTTTGCCGAGCTATGGTATGTCAACCTCGTTTGCCGAGCTATGGTATGTCAACCTCGTTTGCCGAGCTATGGTATGTCAACCTCGTTTGCCGAGCTATGGTATGTCAACCTCGTTTGCCGAGCTATGGTGTGCAAACCTCGTTTGCAGAGCTATGGTGTGTAAACCTCGTTTGCAGAGCTATGGTGTGTAAACCTCGATTGCAGAGCTATGGCTCTGTCGTTTGTGACGTTTCCTTCGGCTGATTTTTTTCTCCCCTCTTTTTATATGCCTAAACCTTTCCTGGTTCACTTCCGCTGCTGTTTTTATTTATTTTTTCTTCCAGATGGAGTTGGAGGAGGAGATGTCGGTGGAGGATCGGAGAGCAGCAGTGAAGAAGGCCATAGCGAGGATGAGCACGCAGATCCTTGCAGACCCGGAGACGCACATCGGCTTGCTGAAGTCGTTGCACGTGAGTGGTCAGCTGCAAGTAAGGATCAAGGGAGTGTAACAAGTAGCTAAGGATTCAGGGGACTCTCGTGTTGCACTTGTGGCGGCGTGCCCTCATTTCTCGTAGCTTTCCTTCCCGCCTCGCTGTCACCCCACCTCCTCGCTTTACCTTCCCCTTTTCCCGCCCGTCCGACTTTTCAATGTGTTTGCCCCTATCCTCGCCCCCCTGCGCCTAGTGCCCGCTGTATGTCAAATGCAGAAGCTATCTGTTGACTCGGACGTGTTTTCTTGAATTTCGAAAACACTCGCCCCCCCTGCGCCTTGTGCCCGCTGTGTGTCAAATGCAGAAGTTGTGTGTTGACTCGGACTCAATCGTGTCGAGCCTGGCGGTGCTGTCGCTAACGGCGGTCTTCAGGGGATATCATACCCGGGTACCGCGTGCGCATGCGCACGGAAAAGGAGAGAAGGGTTTGTACCATGACCCTCCAACCTCACCCTACTGTGCCTCCTTTTCCCCCTTCCTTTTCCCCCCTTCCTTTCCCCCCTTCCTTTTCCCCCCTTCCTTTCCCCCCTTCCTTTTCCCCCCTCCTTTTCCCCCCTTCCTTTCCCCCCTTCCTTCCCCCCCTTCCCTCTTCAGAAACTGTGCTCTGACTCGGACTCGATTGTGTCAAGCTTGGCCGTCTTGTCGCTAACGGCGGTGTTCAGAGATATTATCCCTGGGTACCGCGTGCGCATGCGCACGGAGAAGGAGAGGGCCATGGTGATGAGCAAGGACGTCAAGCGGCGCTGGCTCTTCGAGGAAGGGCTGCTGCACTCTTACCAGGTCAGGCTTGTAACGAGGATAGTTTTCTCCCGAAGGTGGTTACCAGGGGGGAAACGGCATGGTTGAGGGGCGAGCAGGGGGAAAGGGTGAGGGAAAGGGGGATGGAAGGTAATGGGGAAGGAGAGGAGAGAAGCGCGGTGATGACATCGGATGGCTGAGAGGCTTCGCCTCGTTGACGCTCCCAATAGACTACAATTTCCTGAGCGCTCTCTTGACCCTGTATGCATGTAAGAGGGGCAGGGGGAAGGGACAAGGGGGGAGGGGCGAGGGGAACGGGGCAAGGGGCAAGGGGGAAGAGGCAAGGGGGGAGGGGCAAGGGGGGAGGGGCAAGGGGGGAGGGGCAAGGGGGGAGGGGCAAGGGGGGAGGGGCAAGGGGGGAGGGGCAAGGGGGGAGGGCAAGGGGGAGGGGCAAGGGGGGAGGGCAAGGGGGAGGGGCAAGGGGGGAGGGGCAAGGGGGGAGGGCAAGGGGGGAGGGGCAAGGGGGAGGGGCAAGGGGGAGGGGCAAGGGGGGAGGGGCAAGGGGGGAGGGGCAAGGGGGGAGGGGCAAGGGGGGAGGGCAAGGGGGGAGGGGCAAGGGGGAGGGGCAAGGGGGGAGGGGCAAGGGGGAGGGGCAAGGGGGAGGGCAAGGGGGGAGGGGCAAGGGGGGAGGGGCAAGGGGGGAGGGGCAAGGGGGGAGGGGCAAGGGGGAGGGGCAAGGGGGGAGGGGGACCGGAAGAGGATAGGGAAGACAAGGTTAACGGGAAGCGGGAAGCGGGAAGCGGGAAGTGGGAAGCGCGGTGATGACATCGGATGGCTGAGAGGCCTCGCCTCGTTGACGCTCCCAATAGACTACAATTTCCTGAGCGCTCTCCGGATTTTCCAACCCGTATCCCCGCGCTCTCTCCATGTCGCACCTTCCTTCATCCCCCCCGCTGGATTTGCCACCCTGGCTTTGTACCCAGCCCTCCCAAACCGCTTCCCTGGCCTAAACCCCTACTCCCACCCTACTTTCCTACCCCCTCCCCCCTCCTCCCTTCCCCCTTCTCTCCTCCCCCTCCCCCCCTGACCCCTGCCCGTATATCCCTCCCTCCCCACTTCTCCCCCTCCCCCCATGTGCTTTCCAGTCATTCGTGACGCTTCTGCTGAAGTACGCCAAGCAAGCAGCGCGCCGAGCCGTGTCTGTGCGCGCCATGTGCGGGCTGCTGCGGGCGGCGCCGCACTTCAACTGCCGCTCGGAGCTCATCCGCGCGATCATTCCGCGCATGGACCTGGCGGACGACGGCATCAGGTATGAGTTGTTGGTTTCTAGTGGATCAGGGGTTGGGTATGCGGGGTTTGGGGCGCGCATTGTGTAAGCCGCGCATCAACTGCCGCTTGGAGTTCATCCGCGCGATCATTCCGCGCGTGGACCCGCGGACGACGGCATCATCAGGTATGGGATTTTTGTTTCTGGCAGGTCCGGGGTCTGGGGCTCCGGGTTCGGGGTTTGAGGTTTTCAAGTATCGGAGCTCACCCTGTCCCTATGACCCGCCCGCCCCTCCCCTCGCCCCCCCCCCCAACTCCCTTCCTCCCCCTCTCACCAGTTCCCTGTGCTGCTCAACGATATCGGAGTTGATGCGTGAGGACGGACGACACGACGGCGAGGCCACGGTGGAGGCGGCGGAGCTCGTAGCTGACTTCATCCGCCAGCGCTGCTGCGTCACGCGCCCTCAGGTAACGCTGCTGCCTCTCGGTACATCTCACGTGCTTTGACAGACTCTGTCACGTGGCATAACGGCACGGCGAGGCGACAGTGGAGGCGGCGGAGCTCGTAGCTGACTTCATCCGCCAGCGGTGCTGCGTCACTCGCCCTCAGGTGCGTTCGCACGTCTGTGATCAGCTGTTCGCGTGACCCCGTCCCTCCCCCCCCCCACTCCCTCCCCCCCACTCCCTCCCCCCGCCCCCCCCGGCTCTGCTTGCTACCCCTTTTCTTACGCGTAAATCGGCAGAAACATCCCGCCACCTCCTTGCGCCCTCCGGTGTTGGTGGTTTTTCATCCACCCCCCACCCCCTCGAGTGTATCCCTTACCCTCTATTCCGCTTCCCCCCATCCCCCCAATTTCGCCCCATCCCCCCCGATTCTCCGCCCCTACAGGTGCTGCTCGTCTTCCACCCCCTCGAGTTCGACGACGATCTCCTGCAGTCCGCGGAAGGCCGCGGAGCCGGGGGCCCGCGGGGAGGCGCAGGGCGGAAAGCAACCTGGGGGGGCGGGGCGGGGGGAGCCGGGGGAGCGGCGGAAGGGGGCACGGAGGAGCAGCCGGGAAAGCCCAAGTCGAAGAAAGAGCGGAAGCTAGAGAAGCGGAAAGAAGCGGCGAGAATGAAAAAGGAAGTAGAGGGGGATTTCAGGGAGGCGCAAGCCGTTAGAGACGAGTCTACCCGGAAACAGCAGCAGGCGAGGGTTCTAGCCGCCGTGTTCGAAGCGCTTTTTAGAGTAGTTAAAGCCGCCGCCATGCTCCACCAGCCCCGCCCCACTGATGGGTCCGGCGCGCTCTCCCTCCCCCCGCGCCCGCTCCTCCCCTCCGCGCTTTACCTAGTTGGTCACTTCTCGCACATGCTTTCGGTGGAATATCTTCCGGATCTCCTCTCCACGCTGCGCCAGCTGGCTGCTGACGTGGCGACACCGTTGGAGGGGGACGATGATGACCTGGCGGGAGGTTGGGGGGAGGGGGAGGGGGCGGAGGCAGGGGGCGGAGAAGGGGGAGGGGAGGGGATGTGGTGACGTGGGAGGGGGGGAGGCGGAGGAGATTAGGGTTGAGGTTGGAAGATAGGCTCACGTGCTGCGTGGTGGCGCAGAGGGTGATGAAGGCGAATCTAGATTCACTGAATGTAGACATGCGGGGGTTCGCGACGCTCGTGTATCAGATGGTTCTCGAAGCGCCGATCGTTCCCGCGCAGATCGCCCTCTCGTCAGAAACACCCTCGCTACACGCATCCTCGTTAAAAGCAGCTCCGCCAAAAGCATCCTCGTCGGAAGCGGACCCGTTAGAAGAAGAGATCACGCCAGGGGGCGGCGCGATATCCTCGTTAGAAGCGGCCCTGGTGTCCGCGCTACAAGAAGTGTTCATGTCGTCGGGTAACCGCCAGGCCGACATGACTCGCGTCGCTGCGTTCGTCAAACGGCTCGCCGCTGCCGCCCTGCACTTAAGCGCCGCTGGCGCTGTTGCTGGTAAGTGCTGCTGGCGCTGTTGCTGGTTAACACAACAATTAGGTGCTGCCGCCCGGTATTTCTCTGCTGGTGGTGCTGTTGCTGGTAGGTAGTACGGGGTGCCGTGGTTAATGAGTTGGTATGGTGCTGTGGCGTGTTTGTCAGGCGACTAGCTGCTGTTGTCGTTTAGCATGCCACAGCATCTGCTGGAGACTGCTAGTGGTGGATTGTGCCCATCTGCTGGTGCCTGCTGATGATCTTCAGTAACCCCCACATCCGAGTGTCAAGGCATAACCATGGCAGTTGGGGATGACCACCATCGAACTGAAGGCACAAGTCTTGGGTTTCGGTTTTGGGTTTCGGTTGTGAGTTTCGGTTGTGGGTCCGAGTGCTTCTGGTGGTGCGTCCGCGGCACCTGCGCTATCCCCGCTGTCGAGTCTTCCTGGATCCCCGCTGTAAGGACCCTGTTGACAATCTCTACACCTCGACTTGACCGAAACCCCCGCTCTCCCTCTTTCTCAACCTCCCCGACTTCCCCATCCGTGCTTCTGGTGTTGCGGCACCTGCTGCTGCGGTAGATGATTTTTGAGTCGACTCAAAAATCACCTGGTGGTGCGGCACCTGCCGCTGCGCTACCCTCTCTGCAGGGTCTTGATGCTGGATAAGGACCCCGATGACAACCACCTGCACGCGTCCAGTTGACTGAACCCCCCCTCCCCGCCCTCCCCCTTTCCCTCCCCTCCGCCCCCTTCCCCCCTCCCCCCATCAGTGCTCCTAGTGGTGCGGCACCTGCTGCTGCGCTACCCCCGCTGCCGCGTCTTGCTGGACAAGGACCCGGATGACGATCTGCACGCATCGGGGGGCGGCCTTGGCCCTTACGGCGGCCTAGCTGTAAGTGGGCTCGGTGTGCAAGCATGCTTCCTTTTTGCTGCCAGCTGTGGTGCTTGCAGTGCCTACTACTAGCCCCCCCCCCCCCCCCCCCCCCCTTCCTTTGCCGCGTCTAGCTGGGCAAGGACCCTGACGACGATGTGCATCAGGGGGTGATTTTTTAGTCGACTCAGAAATCACCTTTTCAGTCGACTCAGAAATCACCTTTTCAGTCGACTCAGAAATCACCTTTTCAGTCGACTCAGAAATCACCTTTTCAGTCGACTCAGAAATCACCTTTTCAGTCGACTCAGAAATCACCTTTTCAGTCGACTCAGAAATCACCTTTTCAGTCGACTCAGAAATCACCTTTTCAGTCGACTCAGAAATCACCTTTTCAGTCGACTCAGAAATCACCTTTTCAGTCGACTCAGAAATCACCTTTTCAGTCGACTCAGAAATCACCTTTTCAGTCGACTCAGAAATCACCTTTCAGTCGACTCAGAAATCACCTTTTCAGTCGACTCAGAAATCACCTTTTCAGTCGACTCAGAAATCACCTTTTCAGTCGACTCAGAAATCACCTTTTTCAGTCGACTCAGAAATCACCTTTTCAGTCGACTCAGAAATCACCTTTTCAGTCGACTCAGAAATCACCTTTTCAGTCGACTCAGAAATCACCTTTTCAGTCGACTCAAAAATCACCTAGCTGGGCAAGGACCCTGACGACGATGTGCTTGCATCAGGGGGCGGCCGTGGCCCATACGGCGGTGGAGCTGTGAGTGGGCTCGGCGTGTTGTGCGTTTAGTTGTGCTGCTTGTTGTGTCGCCGTGCATTAAGCTTGGACTACCCCGGCGACCCGGATGACCTTTTGCATGCGTCAGGGGCGGCCTCGGCCCCTACGGTGGCTTGGCTGTGAGCTCGCACGCGCCTCAGTCTCAGCCCTGGGTGACGACTGAGTCTCAGCCGCAGCCTCTCAGATTTGCAGTAGCCCGCTCGTTGCTTGTATGTTCCTCCACTGCCAGTCACTTGTCATCTCACATCCTTCCTCTGGGATCTCTCTCTGCTCTCGGCTCTTATCCACACTCCCTTCATTCTTCCTTTTGTTACCCCGGCTTTCCCCCTTCCCCTCTCTTCCTCCAGCGCTACGACCCAGCAGCATCAGAGCCGGAATTGTCGGCTGCTCGCACCTCCTTCCTCCGGGACCTCGCCCTGCTCTCCCCAGACTCATACTCTCTCTTCTCCCCTCTTCTCCTTCCTTCCTCCCTCCCCCCCCAGCGCTACGACCCAGCAGCATCCGAGCCCGAGCTATCCGCCGCGCTCACTTCCTTCCTCTGGGATCTCTCCCTGCTCGCCCGCCACTACCACCCGCACGTCGCCAGCCTGGCGCGCCACATCAGCACCATCGCCACGTCACCCGCCTCGGCCACCCCGGGCAGGCCAGCAAAGGGGTCGGCGGATCCCTATCTAAAGGGTCAGCCGCAGAAGCAGCAGCAGCAGCAGGAGGCAGGTGGTTCGTCAGGTGCTTTATCAGGTGCCACTGACCTGCTGCTCCTTGCAGGCACAGTCAACAGCGGCATGAACAGTGCTACGAACAGTAACAGTGTCGTGAACAGTAGCGTGAGCAACGTGCCTGTGGGGATCATAACGCCATCCCAGGCGTACGCGGCTTATAGTAGCGCCGTCACCGAGTCGTGCTTCCGGCCACCTGTCGCAACGCCATTGGCCGTGAAATCGGGCGCGGCCGGCGCCGCTGCTAGGAGGTGGCGGAAAGAGGTGGTGATGGGTAGGGTGAGGCGGAAGAGGGGGAGAGAGGAGGGCGGAGGGGGGACGGGAGGGGAGGCAGGAGAGGAGGAGGAAGAGCAGGAGGTAGGGTGGGCACTGGGGGACTGGGCGAGGAGGGTGAGAGTTTCGTGCTGGCAGCAGTGGGGCGCTGCAATGAAGGGCGGGGTCCCAGGGCGAAACACCAAGGGAGGGAAGAGTAAGAGAGGAAGGAAGGGGATCACGAAGCAGCAGCCGCAGCAGCAGCAGCAGCAGCAGCAGCAGCAAGAATCCGGAAAGCGGCAGCAGCGGAAACCAGTGGGGGATGTGAGTGGGATGGCACCAAAGCGGGCCAAGAAAGAGGCAGCGGCTGCTTGAGGGGGGAGGCCACCTGAAAAGGCAGCATGCAGCCTTATAATGCCCTTGGCTTGCTTCTTTGCGTCTGCTGCTTACACCGCGGAACACTCTTTTCCGTGTTATCTGGTACGTGCAACAAATTCCCCCCTCCATGGTTAGTTTTGTCGCATCTTTGAGAGCTCGGGGCTCGGGGTGTTCCCCCCTGCATGGTTAGTTTAGTTTTGAGACTTCTCAAAGCTTTTCCCCCTACACCATGGTCACGCGTTGATTCATTGAGGTCGCTGGGTCTCCTTAATTGTCTCTATCTCTCCTCTTTACAACCTCTCTTTTGCTCTGCCATGAGGTTGCCTGATGATGCTTGTTTTACGCACATCAAATAAACAACCGAGTGCCATGAGTGGCACATGAGGACAACTACTGCTGAAGGCACATGGCACATGAGCGCCTAAATCGCACTCGCTAGTCGCTTGCTCTCACCTAGTCACGCCTAACGGGTTGATCTCGGCTGGTCTGTGATGCTAAACCTTAACTTCCTTACCTACATTACCTGAGCCTGGTGGGCCCGAGGGTTCCATCCCATGCTGATACACTTCAAAACTGAGACCAGCTACTTCAGCTTGATATAGCAGCTGTCCTTGCTTCTCCCTCTCTCTTTCCCTCTCCTCTCCATCCTGTGCCCTCCTCTCTAATTCGCTTCCCTCTCTCTCTCTCTCTCTCTCTCTCTCTCTCTCACACACACACACACACACGCACACACACACACACTCTCTCACTCTACCTGATACTGGCGACGGTTGTGTGTGGTGATGAGGAAACCCCTTGAGGGAAGCAAGAGACAGTGTGATAAGCACTGAATGAGTTTCTTAAATCCAATAGATCCTCCTGAACACAATCGCCTGTGCTCGTTACATGCTGCTTTGCCCACCCTCCTGATTCTCTCATCGTTCTTCTGACTCCTCTCCTCTCTTCCCCAGTATCTCTTTTCCTTGAGTTTCCCCCCCCTCTCCCCACCCCTCCCTTACTGATTGAGGGTTGGCCAAGGGATCTGATGAGAAGAGTGTGTGGTGATGAGGAAACCCCTTGAGGGAAGCAAGAGACAGTGCGATAAGCACTGAATGAGTTTCTTAAATCCAATAGATCCTCCTGAACACAGTCGCCTGTGCTCACCTCATATGTCCACTTCCCCTTGCCTCTCCTTCCCCTCCCATCCATATCTGTCTCTCCCTTCCTTCCCCTCCCATCCACATTCTGTCTCTACCTTTCCTCATCCTTCCGTCCTATTCCTTTCTCAACTCCCCCCCCCCCCCCCCCGCTCTCCGTCCCTCTCTTCGCTTAGTTTTGGCAAGGGGAATATACAGGAAGTGTGTAATGATGAGGAAACCCCTTGAGGGAATGAAGAGACAGTGCAAGAAGCACTGAATGAGTTTCTTAAATCCAATAGATCCTCCTGAGCACACCACTGCTGGCATCCTTCCACCTCCCTTCAATCTGTTTCCATGCTCGCTCGTTCTGCCCCTTCCTCCCCTATTCCGTCCATCCCTGATTTCTCACATTTTTCCTCCTATCTCCCAGTTCTTTCCGCATGCAGCGTAAACGACTGTTGCAACATATATTCTCGCTTGGAGCCAGGACAAAACAGAAGCCTTGTCATTTGCCAACACATTCATAAGTACTGCAGCAAGGGTGGTAGGATGTATTGGAAGTTTAGTACTAGACCATTATGTTGCTATTTGGTGAGCAGTCGTCTGAATTTCTCGAAACAAGAAACTGCACACGCAATGGACATGCTATCACTAGAGTGGAAGAATTTGAAGAAAATGCTATTAATAATTGGTATAGAAATTGTGAGTGACCCCTGGCTAAATTGCTGTTAAATCGGTCTCACTACCAATATTCCCTAGTGTACTCGTAACGCGGCCGCATGTAACAGGCTCGGGCGAAGCCTCGACAGGCACGAAGCGGGAGCCGCAGATGCGACCGGAGCTGTCGACGTGCGGCACGGGGCGGAATTCCCTCCCCGGGTCCTCGAAACTACAGAGACCAGCTGAGGTGGAGAAAAAGCAGCCTGAGGGGGTGCGGGGGAAGGGAAAGGGGGGAAGGGAGGAGGGGGAGGGGGGAGGGGGGGAGGGGGGGAGGGGGTTAGAGGAAGGGGGTATGAGAAAATGCTGGAGACACACAGGCGCAAGAAGAGCAGCAGGGCGCGCAGGATAGCAGCAGACACTGGCAGAAAATTGGGAAGAGGCAGGGCCGGCCGGTGACAGTAGCGAGGTGAGCCCTGGACCCTGGTGTCATGTCTACGCGGAAGGAGTGGCTACAGTACCTGGGGGGAAGGGCGCGTGGGTGGTGGGGCAGCATGCTCGCAGCAGGTCGACGTCGTGCGACACGGCGATGCGTCGGTCGTGACACATGGCCCAGTGCAGCTCCACGTGGCTGTCGCCGTCCTGTGATTGTACCGAGACACACACAAACGGAGGCGACAAACAGAACGAGGCGAGGCTTGAAACGGGAGATGCAAATGGAAAGGAAGCGAAGGGAAGGGAAGGGAAGGGGTGCAAAAGCCGCCATGGGAATCACTAGAGGTACAGCAGAAACAAACAGCAAGGGATAAACTGCACGAAAAGGACACTACCACTTAAATGCGCCGTGACATTCGCCGTAACTTCCCACGGGTTTCCACATATCTTCTTCCCACTGTGTACTCTGCGATTCCCTGCGTTTCCTACTCACCGGAAGAAATGAGGTTCTTAGAACTCACCGCGGCGATGAAAGCGTGTCCCCATTCGTTGTCGTAAATCACCGTCGAAAACGGCCCCACCATCTCCGCCAGCGCCGCTTCCGCGGAAATCGGTTGATGCTCTCCCAAGGAGTTTCGCAGTGCCTTGTACATCCCGACAACGAGCTGCGACTCGCTCGTGTCGTGCCCGTGGCCGCCTGCGACGCCGTACGACCGTCGTAGCTGTGCGACGTTGTCTATGCGACCGGTGAAGACGCAGAAGACGTCGCCGGACGCGGCGAGCTGCGTGCGATGGAAGCAGCTGTCGCCGTCGTGCGAGAAGCCCAGCACGGCCTGCGCGCCGAGCTGCACAGTTGCGGCGTTGGGATGGCGCTTCAGAAAATCCTTGAGGAGTTCTGCTGATGTGGCACACTTGGAAGCGTCGTAATTGACGTCGCACGGTAGCTCGATGAGCGATTCGTCGAAAATGGCCAGCGCCATTTGCGGCGGTTTCGGATGGACGTTGATGTGCCTGCTGTCACGCGATGGCTACAATGCTATTCAACGCAAGATTTTCACAGGCTGGAATACAGGCCAAGGTTGAATAACCAACTAATACGAAACAAAAGAAAGAGTCGATGGTGTGTGACAGAGGATTATGACTACGGTGAGAACGAAACAGTGATGATGGATGCTGGAAGGAAGTAGTGTGGAATGAAGTAGCCAGCAGAGGTGATTATGTAGGAGCCATGGCTGTGTCATTGCTGTAAACCGCTCTGTGGTCCTTCATGGCCGACCAGGGAGGAACCTGGGATGCCATGTCGCCCAATTTCAGTATGTATCAACGCAAAATGCTAGGAACTCGGCTGAATACAGTACAGTCCACATTTCCCGGCTAAGTATCAGCTAAGTTTCTCTTTTAGCAGTGGTAACAAAGAAGAAGGAAAAGGGAATTTCCTTGCAGCCCTGCACCGACAACTCTGCAATGCTGGCAGTGCCAACGCGACAGTAGACATGGTTCCACTTCGCAGCAGCAGTGTTCGTGTGGACTGGATGGCTGTTTCAATGCGGCCACCTCTTCTGTCGGCTGACGTGCCCAAGGACAAATTGGACGTCACCATCGTGCCAGCATCTCATGGAAATGTTGAGTCAGCACAGCGGAGATCATGTCGCTCCCTCGTCTCCCGTTACTGGCTCATTCGTTTCTACTTACTGTAAATTCTTCGCACAGGCTGCCTACACTATTTCTCGTTGGGCACTCGCTATATTACAGACATCTTGTAGCGATCTTACGCAAACGTTTTCGTTGAAGCTTCCCGCCACACCATTCGATCAGCAGATGTGCTGACAACATAGACTGCAGTTTCATTGGACGAGAGATCTGTGCGCGGGTGACTCAACCCACTCATTGGCTGTCGTCTGTTGCATCGCTCATTTGAAGGATCACCTATAACAGCAGTGACTTCACGGTTGAAAGCTTGGCAACCATTACGGTGCTGATCGGCCTATTGAGTCTCTGAGAGTTTACAATACGATATAAATCGGTTATTTGTACCAGATTACGTATGTCGCTTATTTTGTTACCTCCCATCCATTGCAGGTATTCTGGACTTCCTAGACACTGGAGCCTTAGTCAGGCATCATGTATTTAGCTTCCCGCTGACATAGGAGCCGATTTCACAATTGCGCCCTCTTACAGTGTGTAGGACGTAGTAATTCTCAATTTTCCGCCATGGATCTTCGTGTTCACGATTCCTCGTGTTCAGCGACAGATATCGTTTCTTCAACCTCAGTCGTATCACCGTCCTTGGATTCTGACAGTATATTTTCGGATTTCCCAAAGCTAGACACGAGAAAAACTTCACAAGTATCGTTCGTCAGTATGAAATCCATCTCAAAACGGAAATCCCGCAAACCTATCAAGGCGGTCACTCTCAGATCCACACCCTTCGCTTCCGTCTCGCAGTCCCTCTCCTCCCACACCCCAACACCTACCGGCCAATCCAAAACCGCCAGAAACGACCAATCAGATTCTGACACCTCACCTGACGACAAAAGACCGGCCTGGCTGGTGAAATTCTGGCGGGAAGCAGGATCGGTGATGGTGGCGCTAGGGTGGGGAGGTGGGGGAGCGGCAGGAGGAAGCGCGCCGACCGCTGTGGATCCCAGGCGGCTGGGAGCTTACTTGAAAGCTCTCCGGGGCCAGACTCGCGTGCTGCTGAAGCAGCTGCCGCTATGGGAGCGAGCAGGTGCGTTTTGCTAACCGAATATCAATGCGCGTGACCAGATACTAAACCGGCTGGGAGCTTACCTGAAAGCTCTCGGGGGCCAGTGTCGCGTGCTGCTGAAGCAGCTGCCGCTGTGGGAGCGAGCAGGTGCGTTTTGGTACCGAGAATGACTTGGAGGCCCGTACAAAAAAAAAAAACTTCCTGTATTTTAGGCTTTAAAAGTGCTGACCGCTGTGGATCCCAAGCGGCTGTGAACTTACCTGAAAGCTCTCCGTGGCCAGACGCGCGTGCTGCTGAAGCAGCTGCCGCTGTGGGAGCGAGCAGGTGCGTTTCGCGTACCGAATATCAGTGCGTGTGACCAAATTCTAGCCCGCTGGGAGCTTACCTGACAGCTCTCCGAGGCCAGACTCGCGTGCTGCTCAAACAGGTACCGTTATGGGAGCGAGCGGGTCAGTGTCGATACCGAGAATGAACCCCTTGAGATCAATCAAGTGGCGATGAACAAGAGCCGTGGATTATCCCCTCTGAGGCCTGAAGTCTTCCGATCACCATCGATTGGCCTCTTCTCTCGTATCTCGTGTCCCTTCGCCACTCTCGTCTCGCTCCTCGCACCTCGCTCGCACCTCGACTCGACTCGACTCGAGAGTCGTCACCTCGGCTCTCTTCTCCACCTCACCTTGTGCCTATCCTCCAACCCGCCGTACAATTTTGCTGCAGGAAAATGGACTTGAGACAGCCCAAGGTTAATCTCCTCACCGCGTGTTTATCCCTCCACCCCGCCCAATTGTGCGTCAGGAATCGGAGCCCTGGCGGGAGGGCTGGCCGGGGGATTGACGAACGCGACGCTGCATCCGCTGGACACGGTGAAGACGAAGCTGCAGACCAAGGGGTCGTCGCTCGTGTACTCGGGGCCTCTAGACGTCATTCGGAAGGTGAGTGTGAGTGCTGACGTGTTATCTGAAGGTGAGTGGGATTGGTGGTGGGAGGGTTGCCAGCCGGTGGATCTGCATCCGCTGGACACGGTGAAGACGAAGCTGCAGACCAAGGGTTCGTTGCTCGTGTACTCGGGCCGCCTGGACGTCATCCACAAAGTGAGTGTGAATGTTATTGTCATCTGTAAGGTTAGGAAGAATGGTGTGGGGGGGGGGGGGGTTAGCTGGTGGGTTCACGAACGCGACGCTGCATCCGCTGGACACGGTGAAGACGAGTCGGCAAAGCAAGGGCTCGTCGCTCGTCTAGTCGGGGCCTCTAGGCGTTATCTGCAAGGTGACTTGAGTGCTGACGTGTCATCCGTATGGAGGGTTGGAGCGATGTTGGATGCTGATCTTCAAGGGGGGCTTTCTCGAGAGAGAGAGAGAGAGAGGCATTTCACTCTCCCTTTCCACTCTCCCTTTTCGGCGTTCCTCCCCAATGCCTCCTTGCAGGTGTCAGCGGCGCAGGGCATCGGGGAGTTCTACCGCGTGCCACCTGCTGTTTTAGCCCACCATCCCTCCCTCCGGCCTCCCCCTGCAGGTGTCAGCCGCGCAGGGCATCGGGGGGTTCTACCGCGGGCTGCCGGCGGCCTTCCTGGGGTCCGTGCTCTCCTCCTCCATCTACTTCGGCACCTACGAGCTCGCCAAGGGGGGCCTATCCAGAGACATCACGCTCCGGCTGCCGTTTTCTGGGCTCAGAAGAGCAGCCGCCAGCAGCAGTGGGGGAAGCAGTCTTTATAGTGAAAAGATCAGCAGCAGAGGGAATAGTGGCGGTGAAAGCACGGGGAGCAGGCAAGAGGGGTCCGGGTCTTCGGTGGTGCTGTCGTGCCCTGTGGCGCTGGTGCCCCCTGTGGCGGCAGCCCTGGGGAATATCACGAGCTCCGCCATCCTGGTGCCCAAAGAAGTCATCAAGCAGCGGATGCAGGTGAGAGAGGGGGGGGAAGTGAAGGCAGGTGAGAGAGGGGGGGAAGTGAAGGCAGGTGAGAGAGGGGGGGGAAGTGAAGGCAGGTGAGAGAGGGGGGGGAAGTGAAGGCAGGTGAGAGAGGGGGGGAAGTGAAGGCAGGTGAGAGAGGGGGGGAAGTGAAGGCAGGTGAGAGAGGGGGGGAAGTGAAGGCAGGTGAGAGAGGGGGGGGGAAGTGAAGGCAGGTGAGAGAGGGGGGGAAGTGAAGGCAGGTGAGAGAGGGGGGGAAGTGAAGGCAGGTGAGAGAGGGCGTGGAAGTGAAGGCAGGTGAGAGAGGGGGGGAAGTGAAGGCAGGTGAGAGAGGGCGTGGAAGTGAAGGCAGGTGAGAGAGGGGGGGAAGTGAAGGCAGGTGAGAGAGGGGGGGGAAAGTGAAGGCAGGTGAGAGAGGGGGGGAAGTGAAGGCAGGTGAGAGAGGGGGGGAAGTGAAGGCAGGTGAGAGAGGGCGTGGAAGTGAAGGCAGGTGAGAGAGGGGGGGAAGTGAAGGCAGGTGAGAGAGGGGGGGGAAGTGAAGGCAGGTGAGAGAGGGGGGGGAAGTGAAGGCAGGTGAGAGAGGGGGGGGAAATGATTGCAGGTGAGCAGTAGGTGGTGCTTGCATGCCCTGTGGTGCTGGTGCCTCCTGCTGGTGCCCCCTGTGGCAGCAGCTCTAGAGAATCTCACGAGCTCGGCAATCCCATGCTCCTGCTGCTCGATATACCCTGCTATCCCATTTTTCCCTTGTTTTCACCAGGCTGGTATGTCAGGCTCAACGCTGCACATGCTGCACGTGGTGCAGCAGACGGTGGCTCTGGAGGGCGTGGCGGGGCTGTAGAGAGACTACTTGGCTGCTCTGCTGCGCAACTTCTCATCCCACCCACTCTCACCCCGTGCACCCTCACCCCATGCGCCCTGCTTCTCCTCCTCATCACCAGGCGGGAGCATCAGGCTCAGTGCTGCACGTGCTGCAGCAGACGGTGGCTCTGGAGGAGCGGGTACTTGGCTGCCCTGCTGTGCGACCTCTCATCCCATGCACCCTCCCACCCCCATTCACCCTGCTGTCTCATGCACCCTGCCACCCCATGCACCCTGCTGTCTCATGCACCCTGCCACCTCATGCACCCTGCAATGATGTGATGCGCCGAATTACAATTTCCTATCAGGCGGGAGCATCAGGCTCAGCTCTGCACGTGCTGCAGCAGACCGTGGCTCTGGAGGGCGTGGCGGGGCTGTACAGTGGGTACCTGGCTGCTCTGCTGCGCAACCTGCCCACCAACGTGCTCAACTTCTCCACCTTCGTACGCCACTGCTCTACTCTGCTCCCATGCTCTTTTCCGATGCTCCCATGCTCCCGTGCTCCCGTGCTCTTTTCCCATGCTCCCATTCTCTTCCCCCGTGCTCCACAAACCACGCTCTGCCCACGCCCCTCTCCCTTCATCTTTCCCCCCACGCCCTGCGCAACCTGCCCACCAACGTGCTCAACTTCTCCACCTTCGTACGCTGCTGCTCTGCTCCCATGCTCCCATGCTCCCATGCTCCCGTGCTCCCATGCCACACACACCATGCTCTCTCCACGTCCCTCTCCCCACATCCTCCTTTTGATATCCATCACTACATACGTCTCTCTCCATACCCTCTCCCCGCACCCTCTCCCCATATCCTCTCCCCGCACCCTCTCCCCATACCCTCTCCCCAGTGGCAGCCTGGCAGGGACACTGCCAGCTGCCCTTACCACGCCCCTTGGAATGCCTCCCCAGGTTTCACTCATTTTCCACCTTGTTTGACCTATCTGGAGTATCTGAAGATGGTGATACTCCATGTGAACCACTCAACCTCCCTGAGGCCGCATGAGAGCAACCCATGTGCTGCCCATGTGCTACCCCATCTGTTTGCCCCACCCCATCTTCCACCATCAGGAGTATCTGAAGATGGCGATACTCCATGTGAACCACTCAACCTCCCTGAGGCCGCACGAGAGCATGGCAGCGGGAGGAATCGCGGGGGCACTGTCAGCCGCCCTCACCACTCCCCTGGATGTGGTTAAGACCCGCCTCATGACGCAGGCGCGAGTGGCAGTGGCAGCAGCGGGTACCACTGGGGCAAAGGTAAGCACCCTTTTGCTGATCTGTTTACAGGCGGGCGCACTTTCAGCCGCCCTCACCACGCCCCTGGATGTGGTCAAGGCCCGCCTCGTGACGCAGGCGAGAGTGGCAGTGGCAGCAGCAGGCACCAGTGGGGCAAAGGAAACTGCTCTCTTGCTACTCTGTTGGTTTCTTCTTGGGCGGGTGTAGCTGTTGTTAGCCACCCTCACCACGCCCCTGGACGTGGTAAAAACCCGCCTCATGACTCAGGCGCGAGTGGCAGTGTCAGCAGCAGGCACCACTGGTGCACAGGCAACTGCCCTCTTGCTTCTCTGATGGTTTCTGCTTGGGTGGGTGTAGATGTCGTCAGCTGACCTCACCACGCCCCTAGATGCGCTCAAAACCCGCCTCAAGATTCAGGCGCGAGTGGCAGTGTCAGCAGGGGGTACCGCTGGGACAAAGGAAAGCATCCTTCAGCTGATCCGTTGGCATAGGCATTGACAGCCGCACTCACCACGCCCCTGGATGTGGTTAAGACCCGCCTCATGACTCAGGCAAGAGTGGCAGTAGCAGTGGCAAAGGTAACTACCCTCTTGGCATTCTTTTTGGGTGTATTGCAGTTGCTATCAGCTGTGCTCGTTGCGCGCCTGGACGTGCCTCCTCTTCTTCCACCATCCCGCGATGCTCAATCCATTCCCTGTGGCAACTCTGCTTCTTACAACACCATGTGATGTTCAATGCATCCCCCATAACAGGCAGAGGTAGCAGCTCGAGCGCAGGCTGCAGCTGCATACACATATAAAGGTGTGGCGTCGACGCTGAAGCATATATGGGTGGAGGAGGGATTACGAGGACTGACTCGTGGCATGACTTCCCGCATTCTTTACAATGCTGCATTTTCCGCCATTGGGTTTTTATCCTTCGAGACTGCTCGCTCGGTCCTACTGCAAGCGCACGTTGAGCGACGGGCTCGGAAGCAACTCCAAGAAGATGCCAAGTGCCAGTCGAGTGAAGAACAGGTGGTAAAAGCTTGAAGGGAAGCGAGTATTCTGAAAATCACGCTTCGTTGAGAAGCTTTTTTGGAGGCATGGAGTTAGTGATTTCTTGTACAATCATGGGCAGCTCTTGGTTGGAAATCAGTAAAGCTAGCATTTAGCGAGTACCATTTATCAGGGTGTACATGCGATGGTTGTCACTAGTTGCCACTCTCAACCGACCAAACCATCCCATGTCGGTGAGACGATGTTTTCGGTGGATGGCAGCCCTCTTCCCCCAGAGAGGCGCTGGCACGTCGGACTGAGCGTTTCTTGCGGCTGTAATCGGGAACATGGGCGCCGGTGCCCCTTTTTCGGTGCCGTCGATCCTCGCATGGCTGGTCCTTGAACACAACCGAAGCGTGAATATCTACCGTCGATCCAAAAGTACTGCTCCCCACGATGCTCAAACGCTAGAGGGCTTTCTTGCTCCATCACTCCCCATCACCACCCCGACTTGTATCAGTTCTTTTCAGTGGGGAGAGTATTTTCTTGGACCAGGCCTTCTCTTGTACTAGTTTTCCTCTTTTCTTTATTCATTAGTTTTTCCAGCAGTACGACAGGGCTCGCTTCTTGCCTACGAACGTCCAGTCTGTGTCGACAAGGTGTCGTTGGCCGCTCGCGATGGCGACGTTTGTCAACTGTAGGCAGCTTAGTAGACGTTCACGATATGGTCGCGTGTCGTTCATCTGCGCGTCAATCGTCGCGCTTCTAGTTACCGCGGGGACCGGCGCTTGGGCTCGCCAGTATGTGACGGCAGCGCCGACCAAGGAGCAAATTAAAGCGGAAGTAAAGAAGATGGCGGATCACGTTAACGCTCATTACCCGAATTACGTCAAGTTCGCGAATGCCGTGAAGGCCGCCATGTCGCTGAATTATGACGTGTCCGCGCTAAAGGACGCGACGATTCTGATGCCAGATAACAACGCGTGGGCTGCCTTCACGAAACTCGTCCCGCCGTCTTCCAAGAACTTGCCCAAGATGTACAACGTCACCGCGTATCACGTGCTTATAACGAAGATGACTTTAGCGTTTCTGAGGAAGCAGAAGCCAAGGGCGTTCGCGACGATGTTGAAGCAGCCTCAATACAAGCAGACTCCGGTAAACGCTGTGAACGTGTCGTTCGGGCTCCTCCGTTCGCCCAAGCCCAAATGGTGCACAGTGATAACCGCGAGAATTTATCAGGGCCCCTATTTCATATCCCATGGCGTGGATAATATCGTCATTCCCAAGGGTACTCAGGTGCCGTAGCCTCACCATGGACAGGGTCAGAACCGACTTGCGTTACCTGGAATACTATGTGGCAGAAGCAGCATCGCCTGCATGCATTGTTGGGCCGACCCACGGGGTTTTAGGTGGCTGCAGTGTACTACCGTCCCAACCACTGTAGTAACTAGCACATGTCTCCAACATCCTCCTTTGTATTAAATTCATGGTTGCCTTCAATTAAATATCCATAAGGACTCTTCCTGCAGATCAGTATTTGTACAAATAAGTGCCTTGACTTTTGTCTGTAGCACATTAAGTTTCGGTTTTAATTTCTTGAAATTATACTGCTGGCTCAATAGTATGTGCTCATGCCGGAGTGGTTAACGGGACAGACTAGAAATCTGTTGGGCTCTGCCCGCGCAGGTTCGAGTCCTGCTGAGCACGATTTTTGTTCTGAACAATCTTCGCTGCAACTTTCAAGACAACCGCGTCTAATCAGCGCTCGTGCTTGGGCGTAGCTGCTGGTCCCGACTGAAAAGAGCACCCCAAGTGCTTATCCTTGCTGGACCGCGCTGTACGAAGGAAAAATCGACGACTTTTGTGCATCGAGCCAGGCTGGCTCCCTCAGTCCCTAACCTCGCGCATGGCCTGGGGCGGTGTAAATTCACATTCCCTCCACAAGTCGCCGTACAGAACAAGGGCGATTGGGGGTTGACCGTTTGATACGCGTGAGATACAGTGATGGCCAATGCGGCGTGGTTGGGGGTGGGGGGCAGGCCTCTCGCTAAGCCCCAGGGTATTCTGGAAGGGGACGGAATCGCCTCAAGATTACCCGTTTACAGACGGATTTTTTCCAAAAAGAACCCGTTACCGAAAGGAATCGGCAGCTACAAATTCGGCTAGCAAGTGATCAAAGGCGGGGTTGGGCGGGGGTAGGGGGGTGGGGGGTGGACAGATTGCCCTGCTACATGTATAGCCCGTACAGATTCGAAAAAAAGTACTCGTTAGGCTAAGGAATCGCGCGATTTTGTTTCCGTAAGTTGGACGGATTCGGCAAACAATCACACTGTAAAAAAACGGAATCACTGTAGAAGTTAACTTTAATTTCTTGACATTAAAGATAATTACCCTCTTAGCAAGAGGCCTGGTGGGGGGGGGGGGGGAGGAGGAGAGGGGCGGGGGGAGAGGCTGCTTTGGTGAGTGATCCTCAATTTGTACTGTAGTGCCCGGAAGGAGCCTTTTCACTTTGCTGCTGCTTCGGTTTCTTTCCTCCTCTCCAAGGAGACAGCCTGCTTCGGGCTCGTTTTGTTTCGTCTGCCCAAATCACACGGTACAGTGATCTCATGGGGTCGTCCTTTTGTTTCCCTGCCCCTCTTATGGCCTCGCCCGAGAGCAGCCACAGGAATTAGGGAGCAGCAGAATTAGTTACCCCGTCCCAAAAAAGAAGTGCCGAAAAAGCTACCTCCAACCAACCCCGAGGAGCCCTCGAGGTTACCCTGAGGAGGTAACCCTGAATGCGCATAACAATGTGAGTTTGAAGGGCAGTTGGAGGGCAGGGATTGCCTCGGGTACGCCCTCCAGTTCGCGAGCGTAGTGCCATCCATCCAATCCATACCACGAGCTGACACTCGGGGCCATCACATAGTGAGTAGTTACGGAGCCAACAGCCGCAAGTCACGGCAACGGCACACTGTACGTCTTACGCCTCTAGACTGCAGCAATGACACGTAGGCCCCAGCGAAGTATGTGGGTACTAGCACTGACCGTACTGCAGCAACAGCTTGTAGCATCCTGAACGAGTGTTGTCGCTTGCAAAGTTTGAACTGTTTCTCTTACGATGTCTCGCGAGTCGCAACTTTCGAGCTATACGCGAACATCCAGTCCGCAGCGGGAATATAAGTCCGTACACGGCGTATATGCAGCGTTAGGTGTTATTTCTCTGCGAAATTCGCAGTCCGCCCGAAATTCGTAATAACTTCCCATGGCTGTCAGGACCCTCCGATAGAGCTCAGTAGAGACGACGATCGTCTCCTCCACGTCAGCAGACACGTCGCTCGCTGCAGCCACCTCATATTCTGTACTCTGACTTCCAAATTGCCGTGAGGACATGTTCTGTTTTTGAGAATTCTCAACCAGAAAGCTGACCTCCCATGGCTGTCAGGCCACTCCAATAGAGCTCAGTAGAGTCTGCGACCGTCCGGCGTGACGTGTACAGCTCCAGCGCAACTTGCGATTACCGTGAACGGTATCAAGCCGGGCCGGCGATCCGCGATCCGCCGTCTGGACCGACTCGCTTCACGACAGCTTCCTCCTTTTCGCGATAGATTTCGCAGCGATGGACTTTGCCGTTTTAGGGACGTGCATTCCACAGGTGGACCCCGCGCATCGAGCCCTGGCGGCGCGGCTGATGGGTACGACCTGCCCCACGTGCGACCGCCCCGCCGCCATGTCGCATCCCTGGCACCACCCGCCCCTCTTCGACCGCGCAAACCCTTCCGCTCTCCGCGAATTCGGCCGCTGCCGCTTCGTCTGCACCGCCAGCGCCGTCCCCCCTGCCGACCCCTCCGCGCACGCCCCGCCCACGCGGAACTCCCCCGCCTCCGCCTCCGCCTCTGCCGCTGTTTCGTCCAGCACCGCTTCCGCCAGCGACCTCATCGCGGAACGGGAGCGGCGGACGCGGGTTCGACACCTCGTTGCGGCGGAACCGGCGCTGGCGGCGCTGACCGAGCCGCTGCCCGCTGGCTGCCCCGCGCGCGGGTTTCTTCCGCAGACGGCGGTTCTAGGCGGGAGCAGTCGTAGCGAGGAACTTAACATGGACTTATTAAGTAGCGCGCCGCTCGAGGCGCTCGAGATCGGGCCGCAGGCGTGTCAACGGCGCGTGGGTGACGTGTACGACGTCATTCCGGTGCTCGCGCTGCCGGTTAAGGCTCCTAGCCGGGGGAGAAGAGGAGGGAATAGTTTAAATAACGCGGGGGAAGGGAATAGGTCCGGAAGAAGGGGGACGCTAGCCGGGGGACTACTAAGGGAGAACTCTCTAACGGAGAATTCGTCTGGGAACTACAGCGCGTGGGACGCCGAATCGGTTGTTTCTGATTCGGCGAGCGTAACAGGCGACGATTCTGCTGCTGGCGGCGCGAAACAACACGTGGAGTGCTGGTGGCGATTGGTGGTGGTCGCCGCTGACGATCTGCTGGCGACGAACGACGAATTGTTACTGCGGTGGTTCGCGAACACGGATAACACGCGAAAGTTCGCCATCTGGGCGAAGAAAGGTGCGAAGGAACCCCTTTCAAGGGCAACTTACCCCATCATTTCGGCCAGACCTAAAAATAAAAGCACTCGAGAGAGTAAGGGCGCGTTCTGCGCTCGGGCAAGCCTCGAGGTGGAACTTCAGGGCATCAGTTACACGGACCGGATGACCCAAACTCTCAGCTTGGTCGATCTCGCCCATACAACTGATGCCCGGAAGTTCTACCTCGAGGCTTGTCCCCAGTGCGGATCGTACTCTAAAGAACCACCCCCCAACCCCCCCTCCCCCCTTTCTCCATTACTCCCCTAAGATTGCTACCCTTGCCCTGGGCCCCTCCTCCTCCCCGCCTTTCCTCCCTGTCCCCCTTACAGCTCACCCCGGTAGCAAGCTGAAGCTGCACGGCATGGCAATTCGAACAAAGGAGAGGGAGGAGGCGAAGCGAGTAACAGCGGACGCACACCGCTCGTGGCAGCTACAGTATTCGGATGGTTACCCTATCTGCCGCTGCTCCTCCCTGCCACACAAGCGGCAGCAGCAGCAGCAGCCGCAGCAGCTGCAGCAGAAGGAGACAGGCGATACGGCTTCCAAACCTGCACGTTCGGCGAAGCCACAGTCGCTGAATCTAGGTCTGGTGAAACCGAAATCCGCAGGGCAAAAATGTCGTCGTCCGAGCCTAGATTTTGGTTCGGCACCAGGGGAAGCAGCAGGCTGGGCAGAGGAACAGCGGCAGGGGGAAGGGGAGAGTAAAGTGGAAAAGAGGAGCTTTCTTGGTGCTTTAAGAGGGAGCAGGAGAGTGAAAGAGGTAGACGGTCACACAGTAAGGGATTCGGCTTTAAGCACGGAGAACGGATGGCCGGATTTCGACGGGGGAGCCGTGAATGATCTGCCTGGTAACCAGCTCAGTCACAGTGGTGGTAACGGTAACGACAACAGGAGTGGGGACGGTAGCCGTAGTGGGAGAACTGTTAAGGATGCCGCTGCTGGTGGTCCCAAAGGCGGCAAGGTGAAGCATCGAAAGAAAGTGTTCAATCGATCGACATCAGATTCTGCTGCGATGAAAGACTTAAGATGGGCTGGGAGGAGAGGAGGGAAAGCAGGAGAAGAGGGAGGGGAGGGGGGACTGTGGCCCCCAGGCATCGATGCGTCTCCTGCTGCTGCTTCTGCTGCTAGTGCTGCTGGTGCCGGTGCTGCTGGCGTTCCTTATTCTCTTTCCACCTCTGTTCTCTCCCTTTCGACAACCCCCATCTCGTCACCCTTCCGACACTCGCCGGCCCGTCCTGCTTCCACCACTCCCACCAGCAGCACCAACAGCAGCAGCAAAGGCGGCAGTTTAACTCACAACCAATTTGAGATTGGTAATCAATTACCTGAAGCACCCTCCCACCACAACAACCACCACAGCAACTACACCAACCACAGTAACCAGCACCATCCGCACGACCAGCACCAGCAGCACCAGCAGCACCGCCTTTCAACCCCAGAGTCCTCCCCTCATCGCTCCTTCCGCTCCCCTCTCCGCTTCCTCCTCTCCCCAGCCCACCTCTGCTCCTTGGGCGGTAACCCCTTCCCCCCCGGGATCAGGGGTCAGTGCGATAGTGATAGTGGAGGGGAGGAGTGGGGGGATGGTGAGGGGCTGGAGGGAGGAAGAGGAGGAAGAGGAGGAAGAGAAGAAACTGGAGGGTTGAGTGGGAAGGTGCACTCCTCAATCGACATCTCAGCGCCTAGGCTGCAATCCACAACCGTGTCCTCCGCGCTGCTCATCGGCCGCAGTAAAAGCTACAGCGAGCAAGCGGTTGCTACAGCGTGTAGCGAAGCCAGTGCTATAGAGGGTTCGCAGGACGTGGACCAGAGACCTGCCACCAGCAGTGGCAACCAGAGGGGCGGCTGGGAACATCACCAAGGGAACTCAGAAGCAGCAAGAGGAACAGCAGCAGAAGCTAATGCACAAGTTAATGCACAAGTTAAAGCACAAGCTAATGCCCAAGTTCCTCTTGCTGATGTTCCTCTTTCTGTTCCTCTAAGCCCACGATTACCCCAATCCCCTCTCCTTCCAGAATCTTGCTCTACTGGCACTACCTATTCCACTGGTAACACCTTCCACAGCGGTAACAGCATGGCCTGTGGTAACCACATGGCAGGTGGTAACAGCATGGCCAGTGGTAACCACATGGCAGGTGGTAACAGCATGGCCAGTGGTAACCACATGGCAGGTGGTAACAGCATGACACGTGGCAACACAGAGGCCAGACAGAAGCCGCGCTCTGGCCCGTTGAAGCAGCACCGTCGCATGGCGTCCGCTGCTGCTGTGGTGCTCCATACTCGCTCCGCCTCCCATGCTTCTATCAGCACCTCCCTTGCTTCCACTAACCCAGCCATGCCTGTAGCTTCCCCCCACGCTGCTATCGGCTCTCTTTCCGCCTCTCATCCTCCCACCACCCCCCGCCGCTCTTCCTTTGCTTCGCTTGATGCATGCCAAACTGCCAATGGTGCGTTGACTGCTGTTTCTGCTGCATCTGGTGATGTTTCTGGTGCTGCTGGTGCTGCTGGTGCTGCTGGTGCTGCTGGTGCCGCCGCAGCAGGTGCTACTGTCGCTAAAGGGCGGAGCCGCAAGGCTCAGTTGCTGCTGTCTCAGCCATTAAAGCTGTTTGACAATGCCCAGAAGCCTCAACTGCTGCTCTCTCACCCTGCAAAGCTGTTTGAGAATCGTCAAGAGCCGCATCTGCTGCTGTCTCAGCCTCTCAGGCACCGCCGCAATCGCAGCAGCAACGCCCTGCCCGCTTCATCACCTTCGAATGCTGCTGCGTCTGCTGCTGCTGCTGGTGCCGGTGCTGCTAGTAACGAGGAATCGCCGCGAGGGAGGGAGGAGTGGGAGGAGTGGCAAGATTGGGGGGACCATGCAGATTCCCACGTGTCACTAGGTGGGGGGAGCAGGGCGCGGGGGAGGAGGGGGAGGGAGGGCACCAGAGTAGGAGGCTTGGCAGCAACTTAAGGGGTAATACAAGTAGTACTAGTATGAGCAACAAGTTTGACTATAACGGAAGTCAGGGCAGCACGGGTGTGACTGTAACGGGCGGGGGGAGTCCAGTCAAGGAGATGAGGAGAGCAAGGAGTGCGGGGAGTTCATCGGGGGGAGTGAGAGGTGCTGGTGGGAAAGATGGAGGCGTGAAAGTGGGGGGCGTGAAAGGTGGAGGCAAAAGCTTCCATGGCGGTAGCAGTGCTGGTTCTGCTCTTGCTTCTTCTGCTGCTGCTGCTGCTGCTGCTGCTGTTGCATCTGTTGATGCCGCCGCCGCCGCTGCTGCTGCTGCTTCTGCTAGTGATTCTGGTGCTACTAGAGGCTCCGATGCTGCTGCTGCTGCTGCTGCATCTGTTGATGCTGCTAACGCTGCTGCGAGAGACGCGTCTGGTTCTGGGAGAAGGGTAGTCAAGAAAGTGAAGGCAAAGAGGAGCAAGAGCACTGGGGCAGAGGAGCCAATATTGGTGAAGATAGAGCAAGGGGGTCAGATTGAGCAAGGAGAGAGAAGTCTCGCTGGGGAAGACTCGGCTCTGGATCTGGTAGGGGAGTTTCCCCTCGTGGCTTCGGGCAGAAGCAAAAGCTCTGAGTACCGAGGAGCTGTGAGGAAAGGCGAGGGGTCGGGGCACGGGAGCCGCCGGGCATCTGAAATACTCCAGGCTGCCCGGCGGGCAGCAAAGCATGCGAACATGATGAGGCTGGCAGAAAAAGAAGGGGCAGCAGAAACCACAGGCGGAGGAGCAGGAGCAGGAGCAGGAGGAGAAGGAGGAGGAACAGGAGGAACAGGAGGAGCAGGAGGAGAAGGAGGAGAAGGAGGAGAAGGAGGAGGAACAGGAGGAGCAGAAGGAGAAGGAGGAGAAGGAGGAGGAACAGGAGGAGCAGGAGGAGCAGGAGGAGCAGGAGGAGAGGAGAGGGCCAGTGAAACAGCAGCAGCAGCAGCAGCAGGGGAAGAGAGTACTTATGAAGCGCCAGGAGGTGCGAGAACACAAGCAGCTGAACGTTATTGGATTCCTCTGAAAGTTGACCCAGAGGAAGAAGACGAGGGTGAGAATCAAGTGTTTTTTAGAATTCTCAAAAACACCCTGCAAAAGGAAGAAGACAAGGGTGAGAACACAGGCGGCACAACGTCAGCAGATGCAGCAGCAAGAAACCCAGTGGGGCACTCACCCAAAGGGGGAGGCAAGGTCACTCGGAAGAAGGGATTTGAGACGCCTCAAACCGCTTGTGGCGCGAAAACTCCACGGGGGAAGGGCAAGAGGGGAGTTTTGAACCGAGGAGGGGATGCGAACGTCCCAGATGCCCCGGTTGAATCAACGGTGGTTACACCAGCAGTGGTTACATCAACAGGGAGTAAAGCACCCTCTGGTAGGGCAACAGGGGGATTATAGCGACCGCTGCTGACCCAACTGCCATTTTTGCTGCAGCTCCAGAGATCTCCCTCCTTGCCTCCCCGTCGGCCTCTCCCTCTGCCTCCTCCTCCTCTTCCTCCTCTTCTGCCGCCCCGTTCCAAAAGGCAAACACCGCTCCCTCCTCTCAAGTCTTGTTCGAACTCGACCGCCGTGCGGAAAAAGATTCACTTGGAGTCTCAGCTGTTTCAGAGGAGCGGGGAGGGGTCTTCGAGAGAAGGTCCACTGAAGGAAGGAAACTGGATGGTGTTAGGAGGGCAGATGGGATAGAGCATAGGGGCGTGGCAGGGGAGGGGGTAGGCCAGAGGGCGAGAGGGAGAGGCAGTGGGGGTACTTCTCCTGCTGCTACTACTGCTGCTGCTGCTGCTCCCTGTGCTCCTGCTGCTGCTGCTGTTGCAGCGGCAACTGCCTCCCGCCGCTCCTCATCCCCCATACTAGCTGCAGCCATGCGGGCATCAGCCACCCTGGAGCTCCAGAAGCAGCAGCAGCAGCAGCAGAAGCAGAGCCTCATGGCCGCTAGAAACCGCCGCTTCCCCTCCTCATTCCAGGCTTCTCCACCCGCCTCCTCCTTCTTCTCTGTCCCCCTCTCCACCAACACCACTGCCAGTCTTAAATCATCCTCCTTTAGCTCCTCAATCCCCTCGATTCCCTCTCCCTCCTTGCTTTACTCTTCCTCCTTCACTCCCTCCTCCTCCACTCCTCATGTAACCATTTCCCAGTCAGCCTACAGCACTCCTGCCGGCTGCACGCCCGTGTCTCTCACTCCCGCGGGCTCCGGGATTGGCCGGCTGTCGAGCGATCTCGGCCCTTCGTTCGGGTCATCGGATCTCGCTGCTGCTGTGGCAGCTGCCGCTGCTGCTAGCGCTGGTAGTGGCCGGGTGCGCGCAAGGGCGAGGGGGGGACGAGGCAGTGGTCCCTCGCCGTTTGTGACCCGTGCTGCTGCGACCATGCAGAGAAGTGCCGTGTGCCAACGACAATACAATGGCAGTGGTGGCGGTGCTGCTGCTGCTGCTGGAAAGGAATGGAGCGATGGGACTCGAAATAGCGACTATGGGTTGGCTGATTTCAACAGCAATGGCTTCGGTAATATGAGCGGCAGCAGCAACAACACTTACAGCAACGATTGCAGCAGCGATTACAGCAACAACAATTACAGCAACTCTAACAGCAACCACCCTCAGCCGAGCACCGGCGACTACGAGACGACGGATACCGGCCACACGGCAGCTGTCTTCCGGCGAAAATCCGTCTTGAAGAAGCCTTCCAATGTGCAATCAGCTGCACCTGCTTCCAATTCCTCAACCATGCGTCTCTCTCCCCGCTCCCACACCACTCTCCTCTCTCCTCGCTCCCCCACTACTCTCCTCTCTCCCCACTCCCCCAACACTCCACAGTCCCCCACCCCGCTTCAACCCCGTACTCCTCCCCTTTCCCCTCCGTCCACTGCCCATACCACGACCGTTGCCACTGGAAAAGGTGCAACCTCGTCTTCTTGTCAGCCTGGCAAGAGCGGCACGACGACCCGTAACACCACATGCGGAAAAAAGGAGGATGGCGGTGCGAGTAACAAGCAGTGTGTCATGGGTGGTGAGACGAGGCGTACAAAGGATGGATCTCGCATGGGGGAGACTAGCTGGGCAAGTAGTAGCGGCTCTGGCACTGGTCCTCACAGCCCTCATGTACCTCCACTTATTCCTATTGCCAAGCGTGTTACACGGGTAACTCGAGCTGTAATTGCGCCTCAGGGTGTATAACGTACTCCTACGTACCTGGATTTGATGAAACTTGGTATTTACGAAAATTAATCATTGTCGCAACAGAACCCACTTGTGGCAAGAACCTAAATTTGCTTCCAAGCTGGTGAGATGGTGTTATGAATAATAACTGAGAGTGCGCGGAATAATAATGACGAGTACAAGAATGAGAGCCTAGCATTATATAGCGAGAACTCTAGCTAGACGACGAGCCCAGACGGCTAGGTTGGGTACAGGCGCGGTTGAAAGAGCCGAAGGCGACGCGAGCCAGCCTCGGGTTTGCGTCGGAATCGGACCGAGCCTGGTCTTCCGAGGTTTCGGGTGTACGCGATGGCAGTACAACCCGGTAAGGAATAAAAAACCTACAGTTACCCCCCCCCCTCTTAAGGAAGGTGGTCAATAGCGGGAACGCCTTTTCGGGTCAAATAAGGGTGAAGTCCTATGAAGTGGGTCCCGGAGTAGAAAAAGTAACCAGAATGAGGCATACAGGTTGATTTTGTTCAAGTGGTTGTACCCTCTAAAAGCATGCACCTATCTAGCCTATTATAATATATACAAATATGTTTGACACACCCCCTAGGCCAGATGAGGGGCAGTGCCTGGAAATTGACACACAGCTCAGGGCAACACTACGAGTCCAGCCTCAAAGGCAAGGGTCCGAAGACCAGTCAGCAAGAGTACAAGCCAAACAAGAGCAACCAAGGGCGGTACTACTAGTCCAGCCACTGGGACAGGAGCCACAAAGCCAGTCAAGAGAAAGGCGTACACAATCAGGGTCTTAGCAAGTGAGAAGCTACAGGAACTAGACCAAGCTGTACACAGTACCGCTGATGATCTTTAGGCGCAAGCGCCTAAGTAAAGATATCACCTGTGTTGGTACCGAAGCCATGTGTACTACGCGGGTATTGCGGCACTGCTGCAACTCGCGTAGGAGGAAGTACCGCAGCTGGATGTGCTTCGCTCTGCCCTCTAGTCGAGGCTTCTAACACAGGAGGATCATGGCCCTGTTGTCAGCATATAGGACTAGGGCAGAGCTAGGCCGCTCACCTAAGTCAATGAGCAAGAAAGTGAGCCAGGGAGCTACTATGCCGCCATGGCACTGGTGTAGATCCCAGCCTTGCAGCTGGACTGTGCAGCAGACGACGAGCGGGTGGACCTCCACGAGACCGCACCTGCACTAAGGCTAAAGAAATAGCCCTGAGAGGACCTGAGGGTCTCAGCGTCGTCTGCCCTAGAAGCGTCAGTCTGCCCAGTAAGGACCACTGCTTACGTCCTCCGAGTACTAGTCCCATGCCTGATATACTTGCTAGATAACGCAAAACCCTCTTAGCGGCCGACCAGTGATGTGGTCGGTGTCTACCGGTGGCCACAAAGCGAGCCAGGATGCTGAGAGGGTATGCGAGATCTGGACGAGTGCAAGTCATCAGGTACATGAGGCAACCCACCAGCTCTTCGTAAGGACCACTAGGCTCTACTGACTCCTCAAGAACAAGAGCTGAGAGCCTGTGGTCTATTGGCAGAGGTGTGGGCTGTGCGGAGGAGAACTGAAGACCGAAGCTCTGAAGGACCACACCAAGTGTGACTGTATGAGAGTGATGGTGCGCGCTGCTCTGTCCCTGGAGATCTGCAGGCCAAGGTAGCGGCGTAACTCTCCTAGGTAAGTGCAGGTCTGTCTCCTCATCAGCTCACCCTTTACAGAGGCCAGTGCATCTCTGTCTGCAGTAGCGAAGACCAGGTCGTCTAAGTAGACAAGGATGTAAAACGGAGTCTGGCCAGCAGGAACAAAGAGCGAGGGGTCTGCAGAGGACGGAAAGAACTGCAGGTCAACTAGCGTAGCGCGCAGCGTGTCGTGCCACTCATGGAGCGCCTGTCGTAGGCCATAGATCGGGCGCCAGAGGAGCCACTGGGTCCCAGGATTGAAGGTACCTGTGAATCCCTATGGATGGCGCATGTACACCTGCTCGTATAGGCTGCCATGAAGAAACGCCGTGGAGATGTCAAGAGAGTGGAGCTCGTAGTCACGATGTGCCGCTACGTGTAGCAGCGCCCGAAGAGTAGTCATCTTCGGGGTCGAGACGAAGGTCTGAAAGAAGTCCACCCCCTCACGCTGACTGAAGCCTCTAGCCACGTAGCGCGCCTTGAACACAGACGGCTCTCCAGGAGGGTACTTCACTTTGAAGAGCCATCGGCCATCGACTACGTTCACCCCGTGTGGGGTATCTGCGTCGACGTAGGTGCCGGTGGATCTCCAAGATGCCATCTCCAGCTCCATGACAGCTATCCACTGAGAGGCCCAGGGCCCCGAGGTCTCCTCAGCGTAAGTGCGAGGGGTCGGGATGTCAAGGACGTCTGGGTCACCCTCGGGGACTAGCAGCATGGAATAAAGATGGGGAGCAGCCTCAGACAGGAAAGCAAGCTCGTACTGCCTCTCCTCTAGAATGTCACTGCCAAGGGCACGAGCACCCCCGACGGACGGAGGACAGGCAAGGTTAGAGACCAGAGCGGTGGCGTAGTCAAGGCGACAGATAGAGGCGAAGTCAGCGACAGCAGCGACAAGAGCGTCAAGACTCGAGTGAGGAACAGACGGGTCGGTAACGAGGGAGGCAAGGACCCGAGGAACAAGAGGACGAGCAACACGATGGTAGTCAGACAGAAGGGGAGGCGCAACAGCAAGAGACGAAGGAAGAGGCGAAGGCACAGGGGGAGGACGAGACGCATGGGAACAAAGCAACATAGGGTGAGAATGCGTAACAGGGGAGAGAGGATGAGCACGAGAGGGACAACGGGACCAGACAGGAGACGGATGTGACTGGTCAGGAGAGAGAGGAGGGGGCACAGGAGGGGAACGAGGTGGGAAACGGGCGCGCGACGAATTCGGCAAAGGAAACACAGGATCGTGGACAGGAAGGGGAGGAGGCGGCAGGGGAGGCGCATGTGAGCTGTCAGGGAAGGGAAGGCCAAGCAGGCGAAGGACGGACACCGGCGGCGACTGCTACAGCTGCTGCTGCTCGACGCCGACACCTGGACCGCCAGCTGCACCACGGCTACCACCAAAACACTCCACTCCAGCAGCCCCATAACGATCACCCCCAGAGCGAGAACTCTCTCTAGCACCAGTGCCACCCCCAGGCCCACCGGGGTAAGCCACGAGAGGGACCCCAGAACCAGCACCCTCCTCAACACCAGCACCCCTAGAATCCACGGACGACTGCTGCTGTTGCGGCAGTGGCGGCGGCGGCTACGACGGCTGCTGCGGTGGCGGCGGCTACTGCTACTGCGGCGGCGACTACAACGACGGAGGACGAGGCACCGGGGGAGAGGCAGGCTACGAGAACTGCACCGCAGGGCCACCAGAGTCAGCTGACTCGACCGGGATAACCGACGGGAGCGGAGTGACGTGAGACACACCAAACGGAGCAGTACGGGGAGGGAGTAGAGCACGGGCTACCAGGGGAGTGGGAACCAGAAACATGGGTGGGGAAACCGGAAGACCTCAGTGCGGAAAGCGATGGTCAAAGGAGACAGGCTCGTCGAAAGTGACGTACGCGAATGAAAGAAGCGGTGAGACGGCGGGTGGTAAAAGTGCCAGTCAGACGAGTCAAGGGGGAAACCAAGGAAGACACAGGGGACAGTGCGGGCAATGAGCTTTTCCTTGCCTGAGGAACGAACGTGAGTGAGGCATCCCCAGACGTGGAACAAAGACACGTCACCAGGAGACACGGTCCAGAGGAGGGTCGGTGAAACCTGCGGCCGCTGGGAGTGGGGCCACAGGTTCAGCTGGTGAGCGGCGTAGCGAACAGCGAACGGTCATAGAAAATGGAACGCATCGGCATGGATCATGGAGATACGAGCCACCTCCATAACCAAGCTGATGCGTCGCTCAGCGACCCCATTCTGCTGTGGGGAGTATGGCAGGGTGTACGACTGGGTGATACCCTCCGCACAACAGAACCGGCCAAGCCGACCATAGGCAAACTCGTCGCCACGGTCGGAGTGGAGACACAGCACGGGGAGACTGCGGTGGACTCGTGCAGCTATGACCCACGGGACAAGAACTTCAGGCACGCCGTCCTTCCGCTCCAGAGGAAACACCGTGGTGTAGCGCGTATAGTCGTCGACAAGCACCAGGAAGTAGCGCTCTCAACGCGGCTTAGGGATGGGGTCTGGACCCCAGACGTCCAGGTGCAGGGTCTGGAGGGGTGCGGTGGTAGGATGAAGCGAGGAGGAGTGAGGAGCACGGCGGAGCCGGCCCTCAACGCAGGGCGTGCACGGCGGCGCAGATAAGGGAGGGAGGGCATGAAGCGACGGTGGAAGACTTAGGACAAGACCGTGCTAGGACATGTGACGTAGACGTGGGAGTGCTGGGTGACCTAGGCAATGGTGCCATAGCAGCGAAGTGTGAGTGAGCGACTGACATGAGCAAGCCACAACAACTTGGGGGGACGCCCTTACCAGGGGGGACGCAGTGTTAAGCGTAAACAGGCCGGACATTGGATCCTGGGGGAAAGTGGTCAGAGGAGCACCAGTGGCGGTCTCGGTGCAGACTACGTATCGCTCGTGTTCGGGGAACGTAGTGGTGATGCCAAGGTCCTGAAGACAGCCGACACCAACTAGGTTCCTAGAGAACGAGGGGATGTGCAGGCCTGTAAGAGAGCCCGAAAGGGTCGCCGGACAGGGAAGGGTGGTGGAGCTACGAGCAACTACCGGACCTGAAGAGGGGTCTGCAAGTGCGACGGCGGCAGGGGCGGCAAGCGGCGTAAGAAAAGTGTGGTCGCGGAAGAAGCAGGTAGACGCACCAGAGTCAAGCGTGAAGGAGAGCGAAGTGCTAGCGGCAGCCGGCGGGGGGGCTAGTGTGGAGCCTAGGCTAAACAAGGCAGACGGTCCTACACCTGACGCAACAGGGGAGCCTGGACTAGACACAGTGGACACACCTATGCTAGGCAACACCGAGTAATAAGGTCCAATCATACTAGAGTCATCAGCATACATGACAGACGTAGCATTCCTAATCTGATCCATGTTTAGCTGAAAGACCGGCACACGACGGCAAGCCAGGGCGTACCAG